AAACAAAAACAGTGCAACATTTTTTAACTTTTTTTTTAACTGACATTACCCGCTATATTTTAAACTAATCCGTTCGAAATCTACTGGCTGAATTTTGGCCAATATCGAAAAAAAGTTTGGCCGAATTTGGCCATAATAGATGGTGTTTGCTTGGCCTTGAAGCCTCTTGACTATCTGGCAACCCTGAAAGTAGGTTCTTCCTGGTATAAGTTCTTCCTGGTACAGTATAAGTTCTTTCTGGTTGTTTTGGGTGGGTATGTGGTGTGTGAGCTTATTTGATGATGAATCTCCAAAAAAATATTTACAGTACTTATTATAGCTATCATCATTATGGAATCACCATCATATGTAAAGTTAGATCAAGGTATTTTTTGTCTAATATATTTTCGATTTTTTCAATTAGGTAGGCTAGTATTGGTAAAATAGAACATCTGCTACTACCACACACCAGGCTGTAGTTAGTGCCTAGCCTATAGTAGCAGCAGGAGGCCTCCAATAACTATATACGCCTTTTTCACGAATCGGTAGACATCTTGAAGTGATGACAAACATTGCGAATCAGCGGTGCGTAACCAACAGAAATAAGATAAGCTTTTGGGCTGATTTTCTGACATCATGTTGTTAAAAAAATTATAACTCCATAACGGGGCGTCGTATCCAAAAAATGTTTCCACCGATTCGTGAAAAAGGGCTGATGTTTTAAAAATATATGCGGTAATTACGTTTCTGCTAATTTCAGAACATGAAAAGGGACAAATTTAGGCCTACAGGCTCAGGTAATTGATGTGGAAAAAAAAAAAAATTTCCTAAAATATAACTGATGCTTAAATTGTATAATTTCTTTCTAGTAAAGTTGTATTTTTGTAGTAATAATAATGTAAATATTACATTATTATTATTAGATCAAATAGATACACTGTAATATGAGATCGGATGAGCTTTTAAATCTCATAGAATCACGAAGCGAGATTGAGAAATAAAATGAAAAGATTAAACGAGAACTTTTATTTGGTTTTATGGGAAACAGGAAGCAAGAGATAACATGTCCTCCACTCCCACCCTGTTCTCATAATTTTTAGGGTGTATCTTGTTAAATCTTTGTGGTTCATATTTTAGGGTGTATCTCGTTGAATCTTTGTGGTTCATCTGATCTTGTATCAGTGGCGTCGCAGAGTTTGTAGGGCCCTGGTGGTATGTTATACTGTATGGCCAAAAATAAGTGAGCAAAGTGAGCTTTATTAAGTTTGGCAGCGGAGCGAACAAACAAGTGGGGGAGGGGCAGGGAGCTGTGTAGGGCCCTGTTGGGGTACAGGAGTGAAAGCCCCTGGTGGGGTCTGATGGGACTTCTCCCCCTCGCACTCAGAGCTGCGTTGTCAGAGAACATAGAATCGTCCATGACTGATGAAGCATTTCAGAAAATTTTATGACAAAACCAACATAGATTACATAGGCCAACTTTCGGAACTGGTGTAGGCCTATTGTAAGCCTACCGTAAAACCTTGAATTATTGAGTTCTTTTTTTTTTTTTTTATAAACTTTGGATGGGCTTCTTTTTGAGGCAACTTTTGCAAAGTAAAGTGGAGGGGGAGAGGCTTCTTTTCAACTATAAAACAATAAATAATTCCAATTTAACATCAATCTGTATCATGGATTGTATTTAAATCATCTAAACTACTGTATAAACCAATCTTGTTCTTCTCGATGCTAATTTTTTGAAAATTCAATTTAATATGTGCTTCATCAGAAGATTAAGGCCATTGGGCTTCAGTTCGAGATTTTACGGTATGTACTGTATGTTGGTGTAAGTAAATTAAAAGGTCATGTGTGGTTCGCAAGACAAAGCCCAACATAAACAAAAAACTACAGCGATCGTTTACATGACTCCTGAGCAATTGCGGTTTCTGTATGATAATGCCAGGACAGTGTATTCAATGTTTAAAACTGTCGGGGCCCGATTGAATTAAACTATGCTATTATAGTTTATATAATATTTTCTTTTTTTTACTAAATATATGTCAGGGCCCCTCATACCAATTCTGATGCTGGTTGTGGTATGGCAAGCCCCATGTACTAGGTTTAGGTCTAAATTAATGAAAATAGGTATTTCATAAACAATGTGTGTTTTACTCAGTTTAACACATTCAGTTGTTCTAAATTGAAAGTTGAAGTTAGCTGGTCAAAGCCACACTAAAACTACCACTGAATAGCCTCTCTTGACAAAGGCTTCTGTGAATGTTGTGGAGTCTGGAAACCTCGATGTGCCTACTGTACCAAGTATACTGAAATCAACAGGAAATGTATCGATCAGCTATTTTGAAATAAGTAATTAATATCTCCATTTCCATTGCATTTTTTAGTGGAAAATTTGTGAATCTCAACAGTTTGATTACAAGTATTTAATAAATTGCTGTGAGAGGTAGAGTACATGTTAAAAAGGATGGAGGAAATAGGTAAATATATTTATCATTGTTGATGTTTGCCTATCTGACAATTTTCAAGTGACTTAAACTTTAATATTGTCCTAGTCCTAGACATCCTCTTCTGCTCCTATTTTATCCTTTAATTAGTCTGTTTCGCAGAAGAATCATTTTTAAATCAGAATAAAAGTGAAATTAATTCAGGTGATAACAATTATAGTCCTACCTATATTAGTGCTTGATAGAAAAGAACTGTTGTTGTTGGTTGAGAATATCTCCGAGATTTTCTCAAACAACATTTCTTTTAAGAACTATGTGTACACCGCAAGCATTTGTATCTGTCTCTTATACACATCTAGATGTGTATAAGATTTATTGCTCATTAGAAATTATATCAACAGTACATTTTTGTATTTTTTATGACTAATTAATAAGAAGCATTGTACTTATTAATTACCTATCACAACCTATATATCATAGAAATTACAGCAAGAAATTTCAGCCAGTTGTTGGTGGATTTTTCAAGATGGTATGATGGACTTGGACATGTCAATATGCTGAAAGTTTTGTACAACAACAGAGATCATGTTCCCATTTATAGTAAGTTAAGTGAGGCTACTAAGGTGATGCCCTTGCTAAGTATGTTAATTGGTTCTGGGAATTTGAGTCAAACAAATCTTACTATCCTGTATGACACAATAAAAGTTACTGGACAATTTGGCTTCAACTCCAGAATTGCACTTCCACCTTTACAAAGAATCAGGGAACATGAAGTGTCTACATTTACATGGTACAGACAATTCTTGTTAAAGCTAGGAATGCAACTGACTGAAGATGATATAGTGGCGCTTGATGTACGATATAACATGCCGGTGTTAAAGAATTATGATGATAGCTGGCAATTGATTCTGGATCTAGAGCAAAGGAAGGAGCTTTGTGAAGAAAAGATTTACAATTTTATTGAAGGATTACCAAGTTACTTGGCTGTGAAAGCATTACTTGAAGGTATGGTTGGCTAAATTCCTAGTCCACATATCAAGTGCCTTGAGCATCTTATATTAGATGGATATGTGCGCTATATAAAACTACACTATTATTATTATTATTATTTTTTAAAGGAGAAGTTAAATAATTTTATAATTTATTATTCAGTTACATAATATATACCTCATTCAAAACAATAGGAAGACTGTAAGAAACATGAAAATCTACACATTTATTCAACCTTTCAAACAGATTTCATAACATGAAAGTGGAATGAGTGCTAAAAGTTTTTCGTGACTGAAATTGCTCAATTTGTGGCATCATAATATAAAGTATTCCATTATTGTAAACAAAGGATTCAGTATGGAACGGTTAGACATGAATGACAATGAATAATGTACCTGATCCTCAGTACTAAAATTTTTCGAGTAAATAAATGCCTAATGGCCCTCTTGCCTCAGCTCAAACTCGTATTTTAGTTTTTATATACAGGTAAAGGCAGTTGCGCTGTGTTTTACTGTAGTTACTATATGCTGTTCACATTCTCAATGTTTGGTTTTTTGTACAGATAACCGAGATGTATCAACATCAAAACGACCAATGATAAATGAAGGTATGTACTGGGTGCTAAACTGTATGATTTACTTGACAATAATATTTGAAATTGCCCAATTTGTGGCATCATAATTAAATATAGCTAACATGAATGTGACTAATGTATACTGTACTTGTCATGTCACTCTAGACGTGCCTTGCTTTGTGATCAGTTGAATTCCACTGCCCGATTTTTGGACCTTAAAAAACGGATCTACAGTACTTAAGACAAACAAATCCGGTAGTGGACCCAAATGATGATGATTCCTGTAGGGCCTACCAGACCACTATCCTCATTACCTCATACTTATAGCTTGGCTGTTATATTCAGACTACTGTGCTGTGTTTGTTGTGTTCTTGTGTAACTATGCTGCTAATGTTCACATTCTGAATTTCTGGTTTTATACAGGTATTGAAGAACCATCAACATCAAAACGACCAAAGTTAAATGAAAGTATGTACTGGGTGCTGATACAGCATATTAGACTAGATATTTGAAATTCATCTCTCTAGAAATGATGTTTGATTAAATAATATTATATATTGTATTACATTAAATAATATTATATATTGTATGTTTGTGTATATATTGAGTAGGCGCATAGCTCGTGTTCCACTGTTTGCATTCAAACCTGGGCTGTATTTATATTGCCTTGGTTTAACTTTGTGTTCATTAGCGGTACTGCAGTTGAACTAAAAAAATATGTGTGATAAAGTAAGTTAATATTAAATATTCATTACCGACAGTAGTTATGGTAGCTCCTTCATTCTTAACTAAAAGTTAGTAACAAAATTTGTGTTGCATTCTATTGTTTTTTTTAAAGAATGAGTTTCATGATTTGCAAATCTTGTCAATCACCAATCAACTTGTACGATGTGGCTTATGTGACTGAACTATGAAAATCCACTGCTGAATCTTGGAAGACCCAAATAAAAAAACAACAAATCTACATTTTGCAAATTAATCCAATACAATACCAGATATTAAGCCCTGAATGACAATCAGTTCTATGCAATAATCTCATTCTTGTTTTTTTGTACAGGTAATGAAGAACCATCAACATCAAAACAACCAAAATCAAATGAAGGTATGTACTGGGTGCTAAATGATACAGCGTATTACGCTTGACATTTATATTTAAAATGTATTCAAATAATTTGCTCTAAAAAAATATGTTTGATAAAGTAAGTTAATAAATATTCATCATTACCGACAGTAGCTATGGTAGCTCCTTCATTTTTAACCAAAAAATTTGAAAAAACATTGTTACAAGTATGCTATTTGCTTTCATGATCTGCAAATCTTTACTTTTACTCTTTCTGTGGAGATGTGCTAATCTAAATCAACTTGTATGGTATGATGTCGCTTATGTACATGTAACTGAACTAGTAATTTTACAGTTCAGTTTTGTATAAGCAAAATAAAACATAGTTTCAAATTTAGTTTTTGCCACTAATTCCTGCAAGAATGCAAGTACTCCAATATTGTACACTTCTTTCTCCAGCAGTTAACTGTTCCGCAAAATTGTAGGAGGTTGAAAATTAAGTCGCCACCCCACTGACTCATCCAACATTTAAAGCCAGCACCAAACTTGATAGCGTATACTCTGAAAATTTAAATAGAAGATGTAACATTTTTTGTCATAATTTTCTTCTCAGTGAATAGGACAGTGGTCTATGGAAAAGATGATGAAACATACACTTCTTTTTATAACCGTTTGAAAGATAATATAAGACTGTCAAACATGTTTATAAGAAAGAATGTTCATGGGGATGGGAACTGTTTTTTATACTGCATCCAAGATCAGTTTGAGAGGTTGTGTTTACCAAATCGATCTACTGCACAACTCAGGGCTGATTTAGTAGACTACTTGCGACATTTGGTGAGTGCAATTTATTCCATAGTATTATCCATAAATCATAGTATTTTTATTTTATATATTGTGAAAATTATACAATTTTTAAATTTGTTTTCAGGATGAAAAAGACCCATTGACCAGCCTTATAGATGACAAATATCTAGATGATTTGAGTAAAGGTGGTACTTTTGTTGATGAAGTAGCCGTACGTGGGCTGTCACGAATATTAAATCACAACTTTTACATTGTGACGAGTCAGAGAAAAAGCACAGAGCAGGGTTACTTGGTCACAAAAATTAAAGAAAACTCCAATCCATATGGTCTAATGTTATTTGGTCAAATAGGAGAGCTACACTATATCAGCTTAGGTAAGTGGTAGTAGTACACATGTACCTCATAAACACACCCTTCAACATGTTACACATTTCTCAGAGTAAGTTATAGCAGTATATTTTACTTGATATTATCTATATTATAATTACGCTTATTCCCAAGCCTATGGACACAGTGCAATACTGATGCACTCAATAAAAGTGTGTGGGGTTCAAAACCTACTGGTCTCAAAAACTTAAGCAATATATCAATTTTTTGCAGGCACGATGTGAATATCAATTCATATTTTAGATTTATCGGAAGGGAAAAGAATGACTAACTTTTCATCACATGGTTACAACTTATAATAGTAAAATGAATCTTTATGTTTTAGTATTTTTGTTGTATGATTTTATTTTTCAAGCATTTTTTATTGCTTTCCATTTTGTAACTGATCTGCATTCAATTGTGAAATAACATGTTAAAGTTGAGATGAAAAAAAGTATTGTACAAATGTTTAATACCCATAGTAGGTTTTGCTACACATGTAGTACAGTAAATTGGAGAATCAAGTCAATTCATATACTTGGCTGTATATCGTATCTTTTTGTAATTTTCTTTGCAACATACCTGATACAACATGGTATGAATTACAATATAGGATCCAAGAAATTGATTTTTCTTAATCAAACTTTCTTAACTACTCCATAACTCCTACTCCTAAACAATACAATTCAATAATTAATTAAATAATAAAATATAAAAAAGACCAAGCTATAGCCCCGATACTCTGATAACAAAGAAAAGGTTTTAAGTTTTGAAACAAAAACATTTCTTGAAGTGATCTCTTTTAAATCAGTAAGTAAAAAACTCCATAGGTTTAATTTCAAATTTGCCTAAATTAGTTTTATGTCTGAGTATGGATAGATTAAAATTATCATTTAATCTTGCTCTATAAATAGTTCTTAAAATATTCCGATAGACTATGTGGTAAACTATAGGCCTATATTGAAGAGTGGAGTTGCATGTGTGCCCCAATTAAAATAAAATGCATAAACATAGAGAAGATGACGTACAATCATCGAAGATTGACTTGCGGAACACAATTTTAATAGAATATAATAAAAGTGATATTTTAATAGCTTGTGCTCTCTTTATCAATGCTTAAGTGGTGAGCTATAGTTATAGTATACAGCTTAAATATATAAAAAATAAATGAGAATGAGCTCTAAAACTGGAAAATGTAATGCATCTGGCATACATGTTTTGAGAACATTATAATTGTTTCAAATAATATACTATCGCATACATCCAATACCATAAATCAAAGCAAGTTTAATAAAGGAATTTACATAGCATATTTAATGTCTCGTCAGGAACACAGTGCTCTTACCTAAATAAAATTCCAGCTCTCATTTTAACCATCTTATTTAATCAGAAATATGTTCTTTAAAATTAAGAAATTTGTCTTTTGCTAGGATATGGTGGATCAGCAACTGGTATGGGAGAAAGTGCAATGTTTGGTCATCGGCAGCAACCCCCACCAGCAAGACACTTGATCCTGCCTCAACAGCTGCAGCAGCCCCAAGCACAGATACTGGTCCGGAACCAGTCGATGGCCAATTCGTTGAGATTACCTGTGCAGTGTAAACACCCGATGCAAAGCCTTCAAAGACCATCCCCAGGTAGGCATGTATTTTAAAGGCAGTGGCTAATTCGTACATAACCTGATGGACAATTTCAATACATTTAAAACATGTAAAAAATTATATCAGTTTAAGAAAAAGTGCCAAGCCAAAGGTGAAATAATGGAAACTATAAATTTTAAAAGAATGCAGCTGGCCCATTAATTACATGTGAATTATATTTGTATATAAATTGTAAAAGTAACAATACTCGCCATAATCAAAATGTCCAATTTAAAACAATAAAATTGTATCGATTTTAAAAGAAAATGTAGTTATTTTATGTACATTAATTTCAGTCTTAACATCATTATCATTATCATTTCAATCTTAAAATCATCATTAAATTAAATGTAAAGGATATTACAATAATAACATACATATATTACATTGCAATAAAAATAAACTATAAAGAAACCTAGATGTAATCTTAATTCAAAGTTTATTTTATTAAACTATTTAATTATTACATAAACATAATAAATATAAAATGGATTTTCAAATTTATTCAATTATAACAAAATATTATTTTAAATTAAAATGTTACCAAATTCACCCATAAAATCACATTGAAAAAATAAATAAAAACAATTTAATTCTTATTGCTATTGTCAATACCAATAATTATCATCAGTTCACAAAAAATAAATTGTGTTGACCACATTTTGGGAAAATAAAAAAATGGGTAGGTCAGTTTATGCCTAAAAATTAGAAAATGCAAAGACCATTATAAATTTGTATTGAAGAGCAGAACGATAGCATAACACTGTTCAATCGCCTACCGTCGCAAGATAGGCCTTTTCCAGCCTTTTTTGCTTCATTGAAAAAATATTTTTGTTGTAAAAAAAAAATACTAACTCTAAATTTCGAACATTTTAGGTTCATCGGACTTGGCCCAGAAATTAATTTTTTATTTGGCCAAATATATATACAATTGAAATTTTTTTTTTAAATTGAACATTTAAAAAAAAATGAATAAAAGTTTTGACATATTTCAAACCTATTAAATATAAATTGAATTTCAAATTCATTCCATTATAAAAATAGTTATTTAATTATTTCACAATTGAAATGACACCAAGTTCAAGATTTTGGGCAAAATTCACATTGAAATCACAATCAACAACTCTCAAAAGTAAATAAAATTTCAATTTGTATTATACGGGTCCCCCTCCAATGAAAGCAGTTATAAATATAGTTATTGCAAATAATTTACAATTTAAACAAAATTTCACCCCATTATTTTTGGGCTGAATTACAAAAATGTAAGTGCTATTATTGTGTTTTCTGCGGGTTAATAGCTAAAAGCATCTATGTGCTTCATACCCAATATAAAAATGAAAATACCAATTCATGAAGGTGTAATTTTAATTTCAGAAACCATTGGTAATGCATCTTCAAACTCAGAACAAGGAAGTGGTAAAGGTAGTAATGCTACATTTTTTTCAATTCATCATCTATTTAATGATTTTAATATTTTTTATTATTGTTTCATTATGAATTTTGATAATAATATGGTATTAATAATAATAATGATAGTTTACTATTACAAATTAACTTCGTGTAGGTAAATAATGTTCTTTACAGGCCTGTTTCGCTATTTATATTGGTGGTTTTTGTATTAATTTTTACAGCATTGATTGAAGTAGCCGGCGAAAACATTGTAGTAACCGATCGAATGCGCCGGCCGCCGGCTCTTAAATAAACCCCTGGGGGCCATTTTTTCCGGGGCCATTCTCACCATACACCGGTCAGTGCAGGTTGTGAATATGAATAAAAAATCTAATCTGAAATTTATAAGCGTTGTGCTTTCTGTGTGTTTACTATAGTGACCTAACATACAGTAACCTCACAAGATACATACAAAAATCCTCCAATTTAAATGTTATTCTTGCACAGAATATTATACTAAACCATTAAAAACTAGTATAAAACTTCATCATGTTTACAGGATATTTTCTTACTCAAATTTAATTCACAGGCATTCCAAGCATATCTTCAGACTCTTCTGGTCTTTGTGATGAAGGTAATACAAAGTCATTCTTTATTATTATTATTTTTTACTTGACATTTAATTTTATTTTACCACAAGACTACAAACGTGATGGAATTTAACTTGCTGAATTAAGATTATATAAAAATATTATTATGTGCATACAACTTGGGTCTTAATAAAACAACAGCATACAGGAGAAATAAGAGATTAATAATCTAAGATTTATTAAGGGGAGGCCACTTGAGGTGCAAGGCACCGAGCAGGGGGTGGGGGTTTGTCGGTTAAGACATTTTTTTGTCGTTTTGTCAATTTTCTCGTCATGCAAGTATTTTATGACATAGACCTATGCCTACAACATATGAGGAAAATGAACATTCATACAAATTCTCCAACTCTACTCTCACTCCAAAATTTATCATTTGCTGAAAAACTGTTACGGCCATTTGTAGGGAAACCAGTAGTTCTGCAATTTACCAATGAAAGAGGCATTAAATTCAATACACAATATTTTTTTTTAAGCAAATCTTGACTTTATAAGTTGAATTTCTGCACAGGCCTATAACATAAATCTATCAAACAGAAAATATCCACCTTTTCATAAATGATATCATCATTTTTTATAATAACTATATTACCATAAGGCTATTTATTATGAAAACTAAAAATTAAATGCGCGTTGAAACTGGAGCTAAACAGATCTTTATTGAAGTGCAGCACCTGTAGTTTGATTCTACATGGAATTAGCCTACTCATCATGTTGTATGGTTTTTTTGTATTTGGTAGGCAATAGCCTCAAAGTACTGTATTTATAATAATAATAATAATAATAATAATAATAATAATAATAATAATAATAATAATAATAAAATAATAATAATAGTGTATATCTGTATAGCGCCGCTATCCATCAAACAAGATGCTCATGGCGCTTGATATGTGTTCTAGAAACGCGATAAATTGATATCTTACAAAACAGTTTTGCAGAAAGAGGATAAAAGGATATTTTGATTGTAATGTATCAGTTTGCAACCTTTTAATTGCATCTACAATATTATGAAAACTATTATTAACCCCATGCTTCGTGTCTGTCTGTGGGTTCCATGATTTCACTTTTCATTCATGGTTATTGTCAAGAAGTATTCTGTCTGACTTTTTACATGCAACAAAACGGAATGTTGACAATAAAAAAGGTAGACAACAGGTCTGCATCATGTTTTGTCTAGGGCCTAGCTAGCCTTGGAAGAAAGCCTAGCCTAGCCCCAAACTTTAGAGCTCTAAAATTTGGGAATTTTTTTTTGGAGAATGAAGGCTAGACATGCTATTCATCCCCCTCCCCTAAATTCACCACTGCTTAATAACATAGATGTAGGTACAGTATAATTATTAAATTGTTGAGTAGATATTATGATTATTATCATTATAATCATTTATAATTAAATATCATATCATATTCCACAAATAAGATTATAGATAGAAGATGATTCACCATAGAAGTGCATCAATTGTTATGTCTATGATACTTCTTTAGATGGACAGAAATGGCACTGTTAGACTCAAAATTTGAATGTAATTTTCTTTTATCCTACATTTATTTTTAATTTTGTAAATTTAAAGGCCCCCTTGCCCCAATTATTCTGTGTATGTCACACTGTTGTAAGATAAACAAAATAATGGAATCGTGAAAAATTGGTCTATAAATCTAGCGGACACCACAAAATGTTTTGTGGACCCTTTTGACTTGGCAGCTTGTAACCTGTTAATAATTGATATTTTTGTTTTATTCTCCTCTTTGCTACATACTATTTTTATAATAATTATTATTATCTTTGACGATTACATATTTCATTTTCTGTTTGTCTTTCTTCACTGTATTTAATATAAAACATTGCAATGAAGACCTGTGCTTTGTGTGGAATGAAATTGACTTAAAATGCATAATAGAAATCTGATCTGTACTCATAAAACATAATTTTACGAATCCCCAGATTTACGTACACCCTAAATCCCGTACCATGCGTAAAATTGACGTTCTACTGTACTCATAAAACTCATAAATAAAGATTTTACTGCAGTTATTGAGCTCCATTCCAGTTGAAGTCACACGTTGATTAACATTTTATGTAAACATCTTTTTTACAGACAAGGTTATTAGAGAATATCTACTAAGTAGACAACAGAGAGTGTGCAGCACTGGCAGATGGTTTACACCAGCAACTTGGAATACTGCATACCATTTAGACATTGCTGACATGTTCACTGACCTCGACCTACTCAAAGAAGGCAAAAACCAAGTGAAGGAAGATGCCAAGCCAACAACTTTGAAGGATGTTTTAGATATTATAAAATCAACACCTGCATGTAAAGTTCTAATAGAAGGTGAGGGTGGTATCGGCAAATCAACCCTCCTCAGGTATGTAGCATACGAATGGTCCACAGAGCAATCAGATGAAATGTTCAAAGGTAAAATAGTGTTTCTTGTCAGCATAAGAGATATTGATGTAGGTGAAACTATTTTGGATGCTATTTTGAAACAAATAGACCCTGAGGATTTTCATCTTGAAACAGGTTTTTCTCATAATCCTATATTAATAAAACGATTTATTCAAAAACACAGTGATATCGTATTGTTATTGGATGGATTAGATGAATTGAAAGATGGTAGTGGGAGTCCAATAAGCATTTTCAAAAATGAAAAAATGTACAAATGTAAAGTGATACTTACATCACGATCTGAAAACCTCAATGAGTTCATTAAATATAGCAACGTACATGTGAAAGTAAAGGGATTTGATAGTGTTCATATTGAAAAATACATTAAGAAACATTTTGCTTTCTTTAAAAAAACTGAATTAGGAGACTTGCTAATTGAGGAGTTATCCTATAATATGGTAGTACGTGATATGTGTAAGAATCCAATGTTGCTTCTGTTAGTATGTATCACATGGGAAGAAAAGAAACACCTTCCAGCTGACAAAGCTGACCTCTTTAAAGATATTTTTAGATGCATCTTGAATCGTTTCATTGACAAACAAGCAGCTAAAGAGAAAAAAATCTCAGTATTTGAAAATACTCCAAAGAAGTTTGTAAAGGCAATGCTTCTGTTAGGAAAGTGTTTCTGTAAAAGCTTAAAGAAAAACCAACTTTCAATTAACAAAAGAGATTTGAAAGGACCACAAGAAATGGTTGCACTGGCTTTAAAACTGGGATTTGTGTATGAAGATACACCAAATCAGAAATCTGATTTTGAAGAGATTTTTACAACTCCTCACAAGTTGATAGTAGAGTCATTAGTAGGGTTTTACTTATATAAACTATGTCAGACAGAAATGTTGGAGAATGAGTGTTCAAAGGGCATGGAAATGCTGCTTAAGCCATTGGCTGATAATGAATGGCAAATGATAAGAAGAAGTGAAAATTTTCACATGGCAAGGGTGTTTACAATTGGATTCCTGGGTGCCAAGTCTGGCATATTTTTGAGTCATTGGATAACTAATGATATCTCAGCATATCATTCTTTAATGACATATTTAGAATTTGTAAAAGAAGAGCACATGGATACTGTAGAAAAGGCAGTTATTGATCACATGACCATGACAGATTTAGAAATAAAGCCACATATTTATGGCATTTGTAAATCAGTAAGAACATTTATCAGTTACATCATTCCCAATGTCAAGCTCAATCAAAATGAGGATTTCATAAAACTTATGAGAAAAATTGGATATATATATGAACATGAGTGTTTAAATGAAAAAGTGGTAACTGACATTGATCGTTTTTTTAGAGGAATGTCATCTGAAGATAAATTTAGAATGCTTGCCCACATAATGATTGCTGCTGTGTCAAATCATACGCAAGGCTATTTGTATAGAGAAATAATTTGTAGAATATGTATTGCTGATGATATTTCATACTTAACAGCTGAATATCAGAAATTTAATTTCAAATATAACATAACATGCTATAATTTTACAACTACAGCTTCATGTATAGTTCATCTGTTTACTAATGCACCACAACTTACAAATTTATATTTAGACGCTTCATTTCCTATGAATAATGTGATTAGAGAAGTAGAGGTGTCAAGTTCGAATTAAGGAACCTTAATATCAGTAATAATAATCTCAGTAACATTGATGGTTCTTCATTTTCATCCTTATTCATTACACCTGAACTGGATCAGCTTAACCTGAGCAATTGCACTTTGTCTGGTGATATTATCAATGATATGATTAGAGAGTGTTCAAGTAGAGGAGTCAAGTTGGAATTATGGGAGCTTGATATCAGTAGTAATAATCTCAGTAACATTGATGGTTCTTCATTTTCATCCTTATTTATTATTACACCTAAACTGAATAAGCTTGACCTGAGCAATTGCACTTTGTCTGGTGATATTATAAATGATATGATTAGAGAGTGTTCAAGGAGAGGAGTCAAGTTGGAATTAGAGGACCTTGGCATCAGTAATAATAATCTCAGTAACATTGATGGTTCTTCATTTTCATCCTTATTTATTATTACACCTAAACTGAATATGCTTAACTTGAGGGATTGCACTTTGTCTGGTGATATTATCAATGATATGATTAGAGAGTGTTCAAGTAGAGGTGTCAAGTTCGAATTAAAGAAGCTTAATATCAGTAATAATAATCTCAGTAACATTGATGGTTCTTCATTTTCATCCTTATTTATTGTTACACCTAAACTTAATTGGCTTGACCTGAGCAATTGCACTTTGTCTGGTGATATTATAAATGATATGATTAGAGAGTGTTCAAGTAGAGGAGTCAAGTTGAAATTGAAGACACTTCTTATCAGTGCTAATAATCTTGGTAACATCGATGGTTCTTTATTTGCATCCTTATTTATTACACCTGAACAGGAAATTCTTGACCTGAGGGATTGCACTTTGTCTGGTGCTATTATAAATGATATGATTAGAGAGTGTTCAAGTAGAGGAGTCAAGTTGAAATTAAGGACCCTTGATATCAGTAGTAATAATCTCAGTAACATTGATGGTTCTTCATTTTCATCCTTATTTATTATTAAACCTAAACTGAATATGCTTAACTTGAGGGATTGCACTTTGTCTGGTGATATTATCAATGATATGATTACAGAGTGTTCAAGTAGAGGAGTCAAGTTGGAATTAACGTACCTTGACATCAGTAGTAATAATCTCAGTAACATTGATGGTTCTTCATTTTCATCCTTATTTATTACACCTAAACTGAATATGCTTAACTTGAGGGATTGCACTTTGTCTGGTGATATTATCAATGATATGATTACAGAGTGTTCAAATAGAGAAGTCAAGTTGGAATTATGGGATCTTGATATCAGTAGTAATAATCTCAGTAACATTGATGGTTCTTCATTTTCATCCTTATTTATTATTACACCTAAACTGAATATGCTTAACTTGAGGGATTGCACTTTGTCTGGTGATATTATCAATGATATGATTACAGAGTGTTCAAGTAGAGGAGTCAAGTTGGAATTAACGTACCTTGACATCAGTAGTAATAATCTCAGTAACATTGATGGTTCTTCATTTTCATCCTTATTCATTACACCTAAACTTATTTGGCTTTACCTGAGCAATTGCACTTTGTCTGGTGATATTATAAATGATATGATTACAGAGTGTTCAAATAGAGAAGTCAAGTTGGAATTAGAGGACCTTGATATCAGTAGTAATAATCTCAGTAACATTGATGGTTCTTCATTTTCATCCTTATTTATTATTACACCTAAACTGAATATGCTTAACTTGAGGGATTGCACTTTGTCTGGTGATATTATCAATGATATGATTAGAGAGTGTTCAAGTAGAGGAGTCAAGTTGGAATTATTGTAGCTTGATATCAGTGGTAATAATCTTAGTAACATTGATGGTCCTTCATATCCATCCTTATTTATTATTACACCTGCACTAAATAAGCTTAACCTGAGCAATTGCACTTTATCTGGTGATATTATAAATGATATGATTAGAAAATGTTCAAATAGAGGAGTCAAGTTGGAATTATGGGAGCTTGATATCAGTAATAATATTCTCAGTAACATTGATGGTTCTTCATTTGCATCCTTTTTTATTATTACACCTACACTGAATAAGCTTAACCCGGGCAATTGCATTTGTCTGGTGATATTATATTTGATATGATTAGAAAGTGTTCAAGTAGAGGAGTCAAGTTGGAATTAAAGTACCTTGACATCAGTAGTAATAATCTCAGTAACATTGATTAGACCTCGTTTTCATTCTTATTTATTACTCCTAAACTGAAGCATCTGTACATGAGTAATTGCAGTCTCTCAGGTGATACAATGAATATTATTAGAGAGTGGTGTTCTAGTAGAAAAGTCAGTTGGAAGTAACTTTATATCAGTGGTAATAATCTTTAAAGTAACATTTGGTTTTCTAAGTATTTATTTATGTATTATAAATTTGGGCATATTCATACAAATGAAACATAATGATATAAGTAAGACAGGTTAGCTAAGAGAGAATAATGGGCTGGATGGAGCCCGACACCAAAGTGAATTATCTGTAAACCGCCAAAATGTCGAAAAAACAATGAAAAACAAGAGTACCAATGGAAGGAGAGTAGCAATAAATCGTATTGTATCATAAGAACTAAAAAGATTGTTTATATTTTATATTTTTTCTTTTTACAATCTGCAACTTAATCCTTTGGCAAGACAAGAGGTTTTATGACGTAAAAAATTACCAAATACAGTTATTATATTTGATCGTTGCTGCCTCGCCACTGAGATAAAAGAAAATAGCCTTCATTTTAAATGACTTAAAGTTACTTTAGTTTCTAGTAACTGAAAGAAGGGTGTTCCAAAACCTTGTAGCATGTACATAAATAAGTTATTCTGTAAATAATTAAATAAATAAGCCAAATGTGAATATTAAACCATAAATGATTAAATAAGTTACACAATAGTACATAGGCCTACTTAGTTACTACTGTCTTTTATAAATAATTCTGTAAATACATAAAACCGAAAAAAACGATGGCGTGTATTACAATACTTGAGGTATGTATTATACTTTCGTAAATAAATAAATAAGCTAAATGTGAATATTTGCATAGTTTATGAACTTGTTGTATTTATTAAGCCATAAATGATTAAATAAATATTGTAGTAAACTGGCCTATTCAATTAATGTTATGTATTAAATATTATAATGTACCAAAAATACAATAGTACATAGGCCTACTCTGTTACTACTGTCTGTATTATAAATAAAGGCCTACTCAGTTACTACTGTCTGTATTATAAATAATTAAATAAGTTACACAATAGTACATAGGCCTACTCAATTGCTAAGGTCTGTATTATGAGTAAATAAGTTACACAGTAGTACATAGGCCTACTCAATTACTACTGCCTGTATTATAAATGATTAAATAAGTTACACAATAGTACATAGGCCTACTCAATTACTACTGCCTGTATTATAAATGATTAAATATACCCGACCCCGTTACGAAAATATTAGACCCAAACTTACTTGGTAGTGTAATTTTCTTTCATTTTTAGAGCCTATTAAAATATATAAATCAGTTATTAAATGGGTCTTAAGCAACAAACTATCAAAGGTTAAAATTGAATTCATTCCGTAAAAACATCGAAACAAATCATTTTTTTTTAACTTTGCCAACTAAATTAGTGGCCATTATGTACTCAAAATGTTACAAAGGTGCTAGCAACCAATGTTAGAATGAACACTGTCAGATTAAAATGATGGAAATCACCCAATGATGAAAATTAAATTGAAATGCTGCTTTAGGTAATTATTTTCTTAAATAGTATTTTTATAAAATATATTGTTACGAGGCACTACAGTAGAGTACTTCAATATAGAGTAGAACCCCTAGTAAGGGGACACCTTCAGGGGATACAAACAAAAGTGTGAAATTGTAACCTTATTAGGGGTGTTGGTATAATGTTTTCAAAATTAGGAAATTTTATTTTATTGACCTAAAAATGAGTTACATTAGAATTATAAATAATTTATATCAGTAATTTGCAATGCAAAGTTCATTTCGTGATCTGAATTTAATGACCAAATATTCTTTTTTTAAAATATTGAGCTTTATATTAGTGTCAAAATATAAAGTTGATTTTTGTTTTTTGTTTGTTTTTGAGACTGCTGTAGTTTTTGTGGTACTATACAGTTTCCCTTAATAGGGGTTGAATATGCATTGATTTGACCATTTGACACACCAAGATAGTTCCCGTGGTGGTGTCTCAAAGTAGGGTTCTTCTGTATTATATTGGTTGTAAATGGTGGTGTTCTTGGGCTGTGGGAAGATGACAGCAAATTTTGGGTCCTAAGAAGTAGTAGTTCTAAATCACTTGGAATTGGTTTGTTGCATATTATATCCGTGTTTCTAGAAAATCTGAGACGGTACCCCGCCAAGATTTTCTAAAAATTTGTTGAGTTGGCATGGAATGTATAATTTACATTCATAATAAGTACTTAAAATCAGTAACTTTACATTGTGTATACTGTACATAACATAATAATTTAAACATAAGTTATAATTACTGTACTTGTATTCCCATTATATAATCATTTAAAATTCTATTGTATATTTATTTTTTTATATTTGATAAATATATAAGAAAATGATAAAGACACTTGTATTATATTACAAAACAGATTTTGAGTTTGATATGTTGTTAAATTTATAATAAAATATATACTGCAAAATTGAAATGTATTTCTTTCTTTATGACTAGCAATGTTCTTGTAGCACATAAGCCTTTGTACTGTAGTTGGACAAAATAATTACAGTGTTGACTAGTTTACCAACGAGCACTAAACAAGGAACTGACTGGTAATAATGTGGAAGTGTGCTCTCAAGCTTTGTTGTGTACAGCGCTAGATTAAAACTTACATATTACTTTTATTTACGTAGAAAGTGGATCTCTCGCATCATCACCTGATTATACTGAATGTTCTAGATGTAACAGCCAGGCTTTTGTGGCAAATGTTCCATTTGAGCAAATAAAAACATGCATATTCCATACAATCTGGTGTCCTAGATTAAAAGAATCGTATATTTGGATAAATTGGGACCTAATTATAGTGAATAGATTAGACCAAAATTAACTGAAATACAGAATGATAGTCTTTCGAAAAAGTGGATACTTTCACATAAAATCCGCAATTTTGATCTTTAGATGAAAGAATTTTGCTTGGCATCCACCAGGTTTATAATCCGTAGGGTCAAAATACCGTAACAGCTTCTACTTAAACATGTCTATTGCATCATATTTTTTAGGAATTGGAACCTGTCTATCTAGTTTTATTTGTGATTGTCAGTTTAAAATTTTTATGAAATATGTTATAATTAATAATAATTTTAAAAGTTGATAATATATAGTTATAAACAACAAAACATAAACAATGCAGTAAAAATTAGTAAAAAGGAAAGGCGGGGAAGTTAGTAGAGATTTGTCGGGGATAAAAAAAAATTTATCGTTTGGGCATCGATGAGATGCAAAAAACACAATCTTTAGATCAGTGTGCCTATATGAGCATCTAGCAGCTTACAGTATTTTAAAAAATGTTCTCATTGGGGAGGGGGACATCTCCTTCCAAACCTTTCCCGGCCCAGGCCTACGGTCCTCGGATGGCGTTACGCACCAAAATACAACTCTTGCTCTGCTATCGGGGAAATCTTAATGTGCACCAGAAAACCTAAACAACTACACTACTGTGGCTTTTGGATGATTTGATAGGTAGCAACTGTCTTTACCCTGTCACACATGTACAGATTAACTCTATAATATGACTACAGTTATGCAAACAAATGTGGACACTTTGACACAATTCGAGAATGTATTTTTATTCAATTCAAAATCTGAAAAGCATACACTTTTCTTTTTTAAATAGCATTGAGACTGCTAAAATGTGGGTCCCAAGTCTCTCGCAAATTGCAAGTCTCTCCAGTAAATCAGGACGTCCGTCTGCTTCCTGACAAGAATGTCCTGGAAAATAACCCATCTCCAGCAAATTAATTAAATCTGCATGCTTTTACTATTGTATTACCTTTTATTGTCATTTGTCTCACAGAAGTCAGTGTCTATTTTTGTTATCACCATAAGCAGCAAAACAAAATTAGATGTCCTGAGAAAGCTTATAACAGATCTGCCGGAAATTACTTCTTCCAACTTGGGACACCTGTATGTAGTCCCAATGCATTACATTGCTTTGACTGTAAGTCTACTGTCTATACCACTGTTGCATACATGTTTCATTGAAACATTAATCTACGATATCAAGGACCAACCATTAAAAAATCTGGATAAACAAAGGACCAACCATCTGGATGAACAGACAGTAACCAAAAGACAAATACATTATGACCAGCTTCTGGCTCGAACCATATCCACTAAATTGAAGCTACTGTAAATGCTCAACCACTGAACCATGTGGGTGCATAATGTCTTTTAAACTGAAACCATTTAACATCTTGTGCGTGTCATACCACGATGTGTGTCATCAACATATGGTTTGCTAGATCGTCATTCCCACTGGATCTGTATATCAACGATAGATTAAACGCAGCTTCTCTGCGCAGATCAAATGTTCTGTCATCAACTATAGAGGGTGCTGTTTCTAGGACCGTATTATAAAAATGTATTGCAAGATGAAATAGACCTGAAAAAAAAAGAATATGAATAACAATTCAGTGTTATAATATCATAAAATATTTCACATTTAAAATAACTCATTCTCTGTTTGACTGTCATACAGTAGGATACCAATTTTATTTCTTGCAATGAAGCTTAATTGAGATGTACAAGAATGTATTTTTTTTAAATTCTAAGTCCATAAACCAGACTACAAAAATTGGCCTGTATAAGCATCAGCTTCAGTTGTGGTCATGTGATTAAATTGCAGTTGGTTTTATGAATATTAAATGACATAATTTTGAAATTTAGCTCAAATTACATCATAAGTTTTGTTTTAAGATGACCAGGGTTATCTTTTTAATTATTGAAAATTGAATTTGATGTGTAATGTGCATGTCCAAATGCAACGGGTTGAGTTTTCTGAAGTTCAGAAGATGGTGTTGTCAATGGAAGTGGTTGAGAACCAGTTAGTGTGTGTATCTACTGGTCTACTGTGCTAAGAAAAAAAATTATAAGCACAACTTCTGCAATAAAATATAACGAAATAAAAATACTTTTAAACAAAAAAAAAATCACTAATTGTATTTTAATAATATATTTTTATATGAAAAATAATATATTTTATTATAAATATTATTCTTGTAGATTTGATTTTGTCAATAATTTCCTTAAAAAAGATCAATATTATATATACTTAAGAGTGATTTCCAGCTTATCAGCTTATAATAATGTGATGCTTAGACTATTTTTCAGTTGTCAGAAAAAAATAATCTTTGCTGTCCCAGGACCCTGGGATTGGAAGGCAAGCACCTTAACCACCAAGCTACAGCTCCACTCCATCAACATTGTAGGATTTGAACCCAGGACCCTGGGATTGGAAAGCAAACATCAAGCTAAAGAGTCACTTCTTGACTTGTCACTGTATTTTTCTTAGCAAATAATTGTGAACGTAACTAACCCAAGTGATGCATTGCACGACCGATGTTGTAATTGGTTTCTTGGGTATCACCTCTTAGCTTTTCATATTCTTTTAAAAATGCAACTGTCTTTGTAAAAGAAAAAAAGTGAACATGAAAGATCCCATCTGCTATTTGGGGTTTTAATCAAGTATACTTATCAAATCAATTAATAAATCAATCAATCATTTATTCAATCACTCCATCAATATGTTAACCAAAGAATTAAAACACCAATTGAACAATCAATTTGACAATCAATCAATCAGTGTATCGATCAACTAATCAATTGACCAACCTATCATTGACCAATCAACTGACCAATTAAAAAATCAATCAATCATTTGACCAATCAATTGACAAATAAATAAATAGACCAATTAGATGGGTCAATGTATCTGAAAACGATTTGTCTACACAAGCATCTACAGTACTAACTAAAGGTCTGAATTTCGTGGTTGCACCACGAAACTTACCCTTTAAAGAAATAATTACTAATACTGAATTTGCATGTTAAAGAAAAAGCCCAAGAACTAAGCGATGTAGTCCGTATACTTAAGAGAGCCAAAGCCCCAATAAGCAACACCTCAAAAGACGAAAGGCTAACTTTAGCCAATAATAATATTAATAATATAATAATAATAATTATAACTTATATAACACATTTTTAATTAAAACAAAGTGACAAATCCAATCAAAATACATTAGAAATAATTATACAAAAGCTTAAAATTACAAACTACCAAATTTAAATATAAAAAGCAAAAATTTAATTTTAAACAGGATTTAAAAAAAGAAGCAATTGAACAATGCCAACCTATCAATAGATCAATAAATTGATCGATCAATGAATTAATAAATTGACAAATTATTTAATAAATTAAATTAATCCAACAATCAATAATCTACCAAGTAACAAATCCATAAATCAAAAACCTGTAATTAAACTAATATCAACTCAAATTAATAAGTTGTTGAAACTAACATTTTTCACCATCACTTTGAAATACTGAACCATGATGTATTGGACCATATTTTCACAGTTTGTCTCATACTACATATTGCTAGGCTACATTTAAATTAAAGATGAAATACTTTTATCAAATTTTAATAATTTTTATTTAGCAGTAATTTTGTATGGCATCTTACCTGCATTATCAACATATGTCGCTTTGTAGGAAACTTTTGGCAGGCAATATGAAGGAATGTTAGAGCGATGAAGAGGTTTGTCATGGCGGAGTCTGGGTCCATCTTGTACCCACGCACATACTCGCCTAAAATAGTAAGAAAGCAGAAAATAGCACTAGTTGAGATGATATTAGTTGCCATACCGTAAAACCTTGAATAGAAGCCCCGGGCTACTGTTTTTAAGGGATCTTTGGATGGCCTTCTTTTCGAGGCTACTTTTGCACAGTAAAGAGGGAGACTTCTTTTCAAAATGAATGCTGTATATTTTAGGAATTACTACTATAAACCAATAAATAGGGCCACTGTAACATCAGTTTGTATCATGGAGTGTATTAACCGGCATTAAATTACCTAAACTACTGTGTCCAAGTGTGTTTTTAAGTTATTTTGTTTGTTTGAAAATGGGCTTCTTTTTGAGGCTACTTCTGCAAACTAAAGAGGGGGCTTCAATTTGAGATGGGCTCTTCTAGAGATTAAGGGCATCGATTGGAGGTTTTACAGTAATTAATAATAATAATTATTTAATAATAAGCAGAGAAATATAATTAATTATTTGATTAATGAAATTAATTATTAAGGGTTCTAAATGTTACATGAAATTACCTAGTGCATGCTTGTAACTTCCCCTATGAAATGCATGGTGACCATTCAACAGGGCAAGAGCAAAGCTGTCAGGGTATTTCTGTAAATCAATTAAACTTAATATTATATTAAATAAACAAGACTCTGACATAATGAAGTATTTATCTGCAAGTGAAGTTAAGAAGAAATTACAATCTGGATGTGCACTGAATTTAAGTACAGTTGAACTTGCCTAAATTGAATCCAAAATGGCAGTGAAAAATTGTTCGACTTTACAGATTGCTAATTAAATGAAAACGCAAAAAGTTGGCATGTAAAATTAGATCAACTTAGAAATTTACAAGTAGGGCAAAGTTGATTTAGGCAAGTTTAACTGCTCCAAAAATTGACAAGGCCATTTATTACATATTTCACTGTTATTCATGCATATGCAGAAATAAAAATATAATAAAAAGAGACACAGTAACAAGTTACAAGAAATCCTAATTAATATGTACATTTTAATGATTTAATTATCCAATCAGAAAGAAGTTGGTATCATGATAAGAAAGTATGACAGAGTTCCAAATCTAAATTAGAAAAAGTTATCAATTATAATATATATAATATAAAAAGATAATTTATAATTTATGTTACTTATGAATGCATGGAGCAAGCAGTATTAAAATGTACAAGAGTGATGACAATTAAAATATAAATATTGGACGTTCCTCCTCACTTACCCCTATTGTAAGACGAAGACAAAACCGCATCAAGAACTTCATGTCATGATGTTGGGCCATCATCAATCCCAGCAGATTCCAGGGCTGCGTGTAATCACCATCCTGAATAATACCCAAAGGTCGAACAATATATCAACCTATATGTAATTATCTTCACGTGGTTACCATCGTATAACTTGTATTGTAGTTAATATATAATAATTTTATTATTACTGAATGATTATCATTGCTACTTACCTTTCTGCAGGCATTTCTTAAATACCAGTTTGCTTTTTGGTTTAGAAAATCACCACTGAGGTATGCTGCAAATATCATCATATGTCCAATTTCCTGTAAAATAAAACAATTTGGATTTAAATTTTTGTTTAGATTTATATAACAATTAATAATAATTTAATGAACTTATTTAACTTGTTTAGATTTAAACAACAAAAATAATTACACATAAGAGTACACTTGGTAAAACACCTAAAAATAAAAATAACGCTTACAAAGAAATAGCAATTCAACTCCATATAATCACAACAATATACTTACAATAACATGTTAATAATGTTTAGAATAAAAAAATAAACATCACATATTCCAGGAGATTTTTGCTTACTCCTGGGAATTGAGCACCCACCATTCCCCTCCCCCCCCCCACATCCGTTTACTACTTATCAGCCGAGATACGCCACTACTGTAAAACAGAGAAAACAAAAGTGTTTTGATCTGTGTATCTTATTATGTAACTTATTTAATCCATTTTAATGATTAATTAAATATTTGAGAGTTTATTCAAAAACCTAATTGGTTAACAATCATATTAACAAGATAAATTGTCTTGAAAGTTAAAAAAAAAAAATGATTGCATAATCATAATCTGAAGTACAATCACCTTCAACTTTAGTGGATGATTTGCATATTGATTTGACCACATGGCTGACGACAGCAGATGATGCAGCGCTGTGAACTCCCCACAGCTTGCCAGGGCCTGCGATACCTTCTTGAATAATTCCCACCAGACCTCTTTCGCGATCAGACTGTCGTCCCCTATCAGATTACAGGGCTCAGCCTCTGTCAGTATTCGTAAGTGACGTTGATATTTTAACATTCTTATTTTTCTGCGTGTTTTCAAATCATCTGTGGTATAATTAAGAGTAATAAGCATAATATACAAACAAAAGAAAATGTAGTCCGCTAATGGACAAGTAATATGTGATAATAATATTAGGATTAATCCTGCGCCTTTTGCAAAGAGCTAGTCGTGCTGTAATTTAATGTCGATACAGGCATTGGCATTGGTTTCTGACAACTTTCGGTGATTCTGATCGATTTGGTCGTTTCAGGGAGCCTTTCCGATTGTATCTGGGACAACTACACTAGTATAAAGACTGCAGTAAACCACTGTAACAATAGTGTAACGATATTAAGAAACCAGATTCATACATTCAATGCCACATCATCCTACAAGCTACCCATTTATACTCTTGGGTGGAGAGAGACAACTAAACTACAAAAATGAAAACTACCAAAATCAAAACCATATAGGCATGTCACATGTTTTTGTGACATAGAGTTTAAAAGTGACTCAATCTTACTTGAGATATTTTCGTTGTGGTAAAAAGTATCAGAGAAGTGATGAGCCATCATTCTGAGTCCTTGCTTAGCAAACATGCGCATATCACCTTGGGAGTACAACAACATACACTTCTGGTGGATCAGCTGTATGTCTTTTTCTGTTGACGAATCCTCATCCTCCATCTGTGTTTCTGTCAACCAATAAGAATCATCGAAATTGTAACTATAGCGTTTAAGTTTTCTATCCAATCAATGTAAATGTATTACAATGTTTTTAACTATTTAATGAACATTCAAATTCAGAATTATTAATTATTATATTATAAAAATGCACACATCCATACAAAAATAAAAAAAAGTTAATTCGCAATAAGAAGAATTTGTAAATTAAAAAAATTAAATTAAAAAAACAAATTGTAAAAATTTAACTTTAATTTCAAATAAAGATTGTATAAAAAATTGCTTTCTTCTGGCATTGTATTCAAATTAATTAAAGTTACTATTATTCCTACCACTGCTAATTGTAATTTTTGAAATCCAAAAAATGTTATATTTTGAATATATAATGTATTATATATTAAATAACTTATTCAACTTAATGCTGGTTGCTTGTACTTTTTTATTTAAGCATTGATTTTTCCTGTTTGTTGTTGTACAGTATTCTATTTGTTAAGAGGTTCCCTGAATACAGGCCTTCTCTCCAGGTCAGTTGGAAGGTTTACCCTAAAAGGTATACTTGCCAAATTAAAATGTTGAACTTTTAAAATACAAAAGAAGATTTTACAATACCGTGAGAGAGGACATCAAGGGCTGCTTGAGATCTACCAAGCTGCTGTTCAATTGCAGATAGCGCCAAGCGAGCATCGATGTGCGAGGGCGCTAGTTCCAGTACGCGCCTATATGCACTTGCAGCATGCTCTTTTTCTTCTAATGAGTTCAGACACTCTGCATACCGAAGCCACACTGCGGCAAGATTGTACCCCTCGCTCTGTACTAGAGTTGCAATAATAGGTTTTGCATCGTTGAAACAACCTATAGAAATAAAATTATGTCAATCTTATTGTTGGTTAAATGATAGTACTTTTATTTTTCTGCAATGTAACTGCAATCAAGGCACTGACATTTATTAACCCACAAGGTACCCAGTGGCGGCTCAAAAAATTCAAAATAACGAGGCCCCAGGAAGAGAATTCCAGAAAAGGAGGGTTTAGACCTATTCAGTCCCACTATGGGTGGGGCTCAGGTGTGAAAATTTATGACCATGAAACCTGAAATGGTACTCAAACTTCTAACTGTGACCGGTTCTGATGACAGTTTAAGGCCAGTCAACATCATCAACCACCTGGAATTTTTATACCTCCATGCTGGAATGATCCAACAGTCACCGACAATGTTGATTCTAGTCTGTCAGTCACTTGTTCCTCTGCATCTGGTACATTTAACTACAGGTAATTGAGCCTTAATTAATCACTTGCCCATCCTTAAAATTCACTCTTATTTCAACAGTAAAATATAGCAATATGTCCATATATAGTTATGATGTGCCTATATTATGGTGATGATGTGATGTCATCATGACCATATTTAGGCATGTCACAGGTCAAATACAATTTGATAGTGGACAGGGCTTAATACACTTCATTGAATATTTACCAACTTCAAGGTAAGCCTCTGCAACATCAAAAAACAGATCCCCAAAGTCATCTACTGATTGGTCAAACAAATCATGCAATACTGCCCTCGATGCCTGCAGATATTTCGCATAAATTAAGCACACGCCAAGCTTCACTCTCAGATCGATCGGTAATTCCTCGGGAACCATCACATCTACTGATGGAGCTTCTGATCTATAAAAACAACAATCTAAATGTGAATACGGGAAACAACAATATTATAATATTAATCAACATGAGGTATAGAAGATCTTTTGGAGTATTATTAAAAAAAAACATTAAAGTAAAATTTATTGAAAAATGAAAGCCCTCTTGCTAATTTTATATTTAATTCATGCTTTTTATATTGTTTTAAATTTTTTCGGTATTATTTTATCATTTGACCTGGAGATCTGAGTGGACCACCATTGATGTTGGGCCTTGTCCAAGTCTTGCTCAAACGCTCTGCAGGCAATTTTATCCATTGTGTATATTCATTTTTGTGTTGAATTGGTAATAAAAAAATAAATTTTAAAAATGGAATTTCCATGATTTTCATACTGTCCTTTGACCTTTTCTTCACAAAATTGAATCCTCTCTTCCTTGAATATTATGTACCATTTACACCAAATTTTATGATGATTCATTTATTAGTTTTGCGTAATCTTGCTAACAGACAGACAAGCAGACAGCGGTGAATACATAACCTCCTTGATGGGGGTAATAAATTCAAGCTTATGCAGGGTATTAAACATTAAGCATTATACAAGTTTTGGAATGATACGCTATATAAGATGGATATGTTATTATCACTTACCCCGAGTCAGTCTCGGCTTGGGTGATTTGTTCCATGATGGCGGTAGAGTCACGTGAGGTCATCTGCACACCACAATGATCACAGATCACTTGTAACGCCCGTTGGTGCTGCTTCTGACATATGTGTAGTTCAGCCAACATATTCACATCTGCCATTTTAAAAAGAAAATTAGGTACAGATGTACTGGCTTCAGATATCTGATCAAACAAATCACATCTTATTTGTTCAGTTTGACAGACATATTTCTCTCCAATGCTGAACTTTGTTAGAAGAAGTCTGAGAGACAGTATCTAGAGACAGTACTGTATGTACTCAACTAGCTGGTGCACAACTGTTGTTACCTTACATTACTAGATGTTTTACATTGGGAGCCTGAATGTGGCCCTAGAAAGTCACATGGTTCAGATCCCTTTTTAGTGTAAACTAGCAGTCCACCCTTGAAGACTATGTACTTGGTTCAGATAATATTATTTGATCAAACAAATTATGTCTTTCCATGTCAGTTAAAAGTCATACAGCACATTATCAAATAAAGTTTGATCAAACTTTGTTGAGTCTATATTTAAAAAGTTTAAAATGCTTCCATTAGGTCAAAATTAAGTATTTATTCAATAATTGCCAAGCCACAGGGCTCATATGGGCTGGAGCTTATGCCCAGTTTCAATTAGCGAGAGGCAAGTGAGAGTATGATTGGTTCACCGCAGGTTACCCCCAGCAATTTGCAGACTGAAGCAATGTAGATAAAGTACCTTGCTCAAAGACACAAGCAAAATGCACAGCAAAGGATTGAATCTCTGACATCGAGGTTGGGAAACCAAGCCATTTTCACAGCGCAAAATTACTTTATTAAAAAAAAGTCACCAATGCTTTTCAATAAAGTTATGCATTGAAACATATACTAAAACTTGGTCGAGCAGGAGTTTATTATAGTGTGGAAATACATCCACTTACTGGTTTGCTTTTATGTTATACCATAGAGCTATTAAACAATTAGAGTGCTGACTACGCAGGCAGCCATCTTGGATGGTACGGACACACAGCTCTGCGTATTTCGAACATCGAATGCCTTCGAGTTAGCGTTCCAGTATTATCATTAACGCTATGTGTTATAGCTAGTACACTTTGGACAAATGCAGTCTACTAACCTTCAGATGTGATCAGAGATGGATGCTTGGAGACTGCTTGTTCCAGAATGTTAATGGCCGAGTGTACATCCTTATTCAAGTGGCAACTCTATTAAAACAAACACCTGTTGTTATATTTCATTCAAACTTCAAGGAAAGATGCATAGCATAAAGTGAACTACAATAAAGTTTAAAGCACCCTGTAAGGTTTGCCAATGCATCAGGCCTAGAATTAATGAATAAAATAAAAATCCTTTTTTTGTTTTTCAATTGAAACATTTAATTTCTTCCTCTAAGTTAATGGGTACAATGTATGAAACATATTTTGAAAAATATTATTTTTTCGAAGGGGAAAAAAGAAAAAGCAAAGGAAGAAGGCAACTGCCCGAAAAAATTTAAAATCAAATCTTGTGACGGACCAGCTAAACAAAACAAATGAAGCCAGAATACAGACGAGACGAGATGAGACAAAAAGACAATTGCAGTACCCGCTGATATTAAGGGATCGAATTCAACACATGTTGTATTTAAATGTTTTTTTCTAGATTTCCTCACATTGTAAACTCTAAATAATAAATAATAAAATTATTGGTCAACCTGAAAGCTGTTAATACAAGACATACCCTAGCCATGTCCCTTGCAATCTGTAAACACTGTTCCCCTTGTTCTATTGGCAATAGATCAACAATTTTCTGGTACGACTCAATGGCCTTTTTGTGATCGCCAATCTTCTCATACAACTTTGCTCGTTGCCATTGAAGACCAATGTTCTGCTGGTTTTGCCTCAATGCTGTAACACAAATGCAAAATGTAACAGTTATCGAACTGGCATTCCACAGTTTTGTTGTCACTGCTCAGTTTTGGCCCAGAAGTGTTAAATGGCCAGAAGGCATTAAGAATTTAACTCCTGTTTTTTTTTTTTTTTTGTTAAATATTTGACAACAAATTCTGTTCAAGGTAAATATGCAAGATCATTATTAAGTCTAGGGAGAACAAGATAATACATGAAAAAATTACATTTAGAGGGAGCTCATGTTTATCTGAAATTCGAAGTTTCAAAGTGCAATCTTCACTTATTTGATAGGCAGCGGCTAGGAATATTGGTACTGTACAATATCTCGGTAATGGTAAGTGTGCTTAACTATTGCCAACCCTAACCTTCTTTATCATTACCAAGATATGGTACTTCCTTACCTTTAGTGTAGCAGTTAATAGCCTGTCTTGTATCATTCTGTTCTAGACACATCTCTGCAAGTTTCACCCATTCATCAGTGTCTTTTGGGTGTAGATGGGCAGCTATTAATAGGAACTGAATGGCAAATATAAAAAAAATATAAGCACTAAGCATTCAACTGGGTTTTGCTATTATTCTGCAAGGCAATTTTAAAGAAATACCATGTTGAATATACTATACTGAATATTTGCAATGCACATGGATGAACTCATAGCTAAGTACTATCGTACAAATTTTTTCTCGCACAGCGATCATGATGGTGATTTTTGTGTACACACAAGCCGGGCACATACAATGGTTGTACAAAAGTCAAGAATTCCACCTATAACAATAATACTATACATGCTGTGTGACATTCTCAATTGCCTAGTTGACCGCTGACCATCTTCGCAGTATGTGCCTGGATTTACAAGCAATTCACAATCTACCATTCTCTAACATGCACAAGTCCATTGGGACTAACAACTGAAACCCACGCACTGGAGGAAAAAAAAATATGTTGATGCAGTATGTTGTAAATTGACTTTTTTGAGACGAAAGAAGCATAGCTGACAAAAATGCGAGAGTGCTTAATGAATTACAGATTTTTAAACATCCCCCACCCTATTTTTTTAAATATTGGAGAACATATCAATTATTTTTTCCTCCAGAGCCTGGCTTTAACTAACTTGAATGCATTTGCAAAAGATGATGTGCTATGTAACTACACTAGGGCCATGATTAGTGATGGGAATGAACTGTAGTTGGCACTATTTATTACATCTTTTAACAATTACTCTCAGTAGTTTGGTATAGCAATATTTATGAGTTCAACCTGCAGAGCCTTTTCGTTATCTCCTTGGTCTTCATGCATCATTCCAAGTAAGTGATAAGGTTCATAACTCCTTGGAGCTGAAATTAAAACAAAAAAAGAAAGTGTAAAAAAAATACTGTTTGAAGGTTTGCATGGCAAATTAAAGTATATATTAATGCTTGCAGTACACCACATAGATAGTCCTGAGAAGAATTGTTGCTGCTGGTTGAAAATATCTTGACGTTTTGATTGAGTTGCTACAATCGTCTTCAGGAGAATTATAAAAGAAATGTACTGAGCCAGGATGACACTTACACACTCAAGTGCTTGCCTGTTGCTATCTAGTGGGTGCGCGGTGGGGCGCACGTCCTCCTAAGAGAGCTCCGACCAGACTCAAAATATTCATTTGCTGATCCAAACATTATTTTGCCACTCCCCTGTCAGACGTGCTGGACCACCCCGGCCTGTCATTGGTGAACTTCTGGAGCCAACGCTGCACAAAGTCCCAAGACCCTGGTATTAGCTAAAAATTTAATAAAACAACAACTATCACTAACCTTCGCGAATTATTTCCAGGCACATCTTGATTGCGTCCTCTCTTGCCCCACGTGCAAAACATAAGTTTGCTTCACCCATTAGACCTCTGAGAGTTTTCGGTAAGCGGTTATGGAATCGTGTTTTCTTCTTTTTACGTTTCTCTTTTTCCATTTCTAATTCAATCTCATATGCATTGTCCCCTAGCGAATAAAAAAATGTGATATCCATATTCCAAAACTATTATTTTAGCAATATCTATAAGATTATCATTGATTGCCTTTATTTATTTATTTCTTATTTTTTTACTATTATTTTAGCAATCTCTATAAGATTATCATTGATTGCCTTTATTTATTTATTTCTTATTTTTTTACTATTATTTTAGCAATCTCTATAAGATTATCATTGATTGCCTTTATTTATTTATTTCTTATTTCTTTATACTGTACAAGTTCAATCCTCAGCAGTATGGTGATTGGTGCAGGAGGCTTAATATAGTGACTGTAAATAGGGATTAACACGGTGTACTGGTGCATTCAGCCGTTGCTGCGGACAGACGAGAGTAGTTGGTACCAGTTTCGGTAATGCGTTATATAAATCTAAAATCACATTATATTACACTAAATGATGGAGGCTCCTGGATGCTAAAGGCTGTGTTTGTAAGGAGCCTCCGTTTGAAATACTGAATATAAAAAATTAATGATATGGTGTTGATTCACACAACTAAATACAAGCCTTAAAGTCAATACAATTGATATACGTTAGCAATTCACATACCTGGTGCTCCTAAGGTAAACGAATCCTCTCCAACAATTCCTGTTGATGTCATTGCTTCATCACCTACAAAACAATATGTTTTAAAAGTGTTGTTAAGTAGTCATGTCAAACATGATTTTTTTTTTTCCGCTTTGCACCAGTGTCGAACGAGCCTTGCACAGTTTACTAGAGATCTATTTGAAAACAAATGTTGCGGCATTTCAAGAACACATACCCAACATGACTTTATGATTAGTACAATGGGGATGCAGTTAAAGGTAAGAGAATACCGTAACACGCAGCTAACAGCATTATTGTGCTGAATTACGTATGGGTGTGGTCCCTGACTACCTAGCCACCATAAGGAGGCACTTATTTACAGTAGCTACATGTTCAATTCATTCCACAACAACAGGGGGTAGAAATGAACAATAGAATTGGGGTAAGTCCGGTACTCCTAATCTTCCAATATAGATGCAATGGATTCGTTAAAGTGTACAAAAGCCAGATTTGTTCACTTGTTGTCCATTTTAAGTCCTTATCCAAGAAGACTTGATTCTACCAACCCAGCCCAGGGCGGGGAGCAGCAGGAACCAGCGCCGATGTTACAGCAGTAGTAAGCGGCACCCATGAAACATAATTCTTGACATTTCAATTACTAACAATCAATTTATCAGAGGAACATGTGATTATTACCAACTGCATAAGATGACCCTGTTGCTCTGTCATCCTCCTCATTACTGTCATCACTACTGGGGACATCTTGTTGCTCTTGTTCACCACTAGTTGTGGCCTCATCAGTGCCTGTTGTATCATCTTCTAACCTATCCACATCTTCCAGTAATTCCTTCAACTGAAGTTGAGAAAATCAAGTTTTTATTTTAAACAACAATCAATTTATGAGCCCAGCCCAGAGGCAGATCCAGGAATTTGAAATAGAGGGGTTCCAGGAAGGGACTTTCACAGGTCATCTAGGCCTATATACCATCTCAGCCTCATCATGGTAGGGACAAAATTTATTGATAATGGTATAGTACCAGAAGACTCTTTGTAAAGTTTGTTAATTGCGTGGAGGATATCTCAAATATCAGGAAAATAGGTGCGCAGAATCGTAATTGCTGCATAACTGCATTGGATATATATAAAGATTTGGTCAAATCCTTATTTTTCAAAATGCCATTGGCATTACTGAATATAATTTTAGAATATAATTTTTCATTTTTTTCGCCCCGCCCCTTGAATTTAACACTTCAGCCTGCAATATTAATGTTCTCTAGGCCTAGCTAGGGGTCTAGCTACGCATCTGCCGAAAATTGGATCATATCAGTCAGGTGCGATCCATCCATCCATGACATGTCTTCTCCAATGGGTTAGGGTTGGAACATTAAGAACTTACACACACGGTCCATGGATCGCACCTGATCCCATCAATTTTCCATTGCTAAGCCAGGCCCTGGGCCCAAGACAGGACGGCATCTCCCAAGACAGTATACCGGCGTCCGGTCTATTTCTTAGGTACAGTTTACTGAAATAAACAAACCTAAGCTAAGTTTTGCACAGACAGGCCTAGGAATCACCACACTGTTAGGTACCATTTACAGTGTAATTGTAGAACAATGTTTTCAGAAATCAGTCAAAATATAAAAATAAATACCTTATGTCCATCAGACCACTGTTCAAATGTTATTTCACCACGCAAATATCTCAACAATTCCCCTTCATCCACATCGTAACGAGACATGCCGCCGTCAAAACATGTTTTGCTGAATTCTCTGTTTTGGTGTAGAATGATAGCCTACGTCGCCAGTCGTCGGTAACACAATTTTGACAATTTGCGGAAACATTTGAACTTTAACATATTATAATTTATACTTATAAACAATGCCGTAGCCAGAATTTCAAACAGTGCTGGACAATAGGGTGGACCCACTTTACGTATAACTTCAAAATATTATAGACTTATTTTCTTAAAAGTGGACCAATTTTACTCATAAAATTGCATAAGGCAGATTGCATTAGAGTTAGGCTAAATATGAGAAATCTGGACCCATTACTTTCAGAAACTGGATTCATTTTATGCATAAAATTGCATAATTTGGACCCATTTTTTAAAAACTTGCAACCATTCTATTTGTGGACCCATTAGAAAATTGTGTGGGACTGTTCCAACTATCCCAATAGCTCTGGATACGGCACTTCTAACACAATTTTCAGGAAACTTTTCCTGAATAAATTGTAATTGTGTTCTACTGTCTAACCAGGGAACAGTGTTCATTGTTCCCTGGTCTAACCCCGACCCCCATTTCTTTATTTTATTTATTTATTTTTTTTTTGATTCATCAATTCATGGAAAAAAGACTACATAAATGTATGTGTATACCGCTACACACATAATAAGCCTATTTTACCGTAGTAAGAATCTGAAAAAATTTACTTAAAGTCATTAAAAGATGCTTCAGGAGTCGGAAAAGCTAATTTCCCGCCAGTTAGAAATCAACATTTTCCCGGGAAGAACCCGAATCCGCCTTTTCTCTTCGGGGTTCATTGATTCATGAATCTTTTTTCAAGAGGGGCAAAACCATGGATTTTGAATAACTTAAAAGTCATTAAAAGACAGTTCATAAGTCGGGAGAGATCATATCCCGCATTTCTAGGAATCAAAATGCTCTCGCTGGAGAATCCCTGGTTTTCTCTTTGCGATTTATGTATGCAGCCACTCAGGGGAAAACCTTGAATTTTTAATATTAAAAAACACCTCAGAATTCGAAAAGCTCATTTCCCGTCACCTAAAAATTGAAATTTTCTCAGAGGAACCCGGGCCCCTTTACTCTCTGGGTTTATCGATTCATGGAATTGTTTTTAACCAGGGGAAACCGTGAATTTTGAAGAGCTTATCAATAGACATCTCAGAAGTCGGGAAAGCTGATTTTCCACCACCAAGGAATCAAAATTTTCCTGGGGAGGACTCACTTTTTTTTTTTTTTTTTTTTTTTTTTGGATTTCATGTAAAAAGAATACGTTCGAAATTACTCAGTTTTAATTATGTATTACACATAGTTTTCTTTTCTTTTTTTTCAACCTTTTTACTACAGTACTAGATAATATCTCGTAATAACGAGGTACTTAACTCGTAATTACGAGATAATATCTCGTACGCACAGGTTAATATCTTGTACGTACGACATTTTATCTCGTACGTACGAGATAATAATCGTACGAGATAAATATTTTTATTTTTTAGTTGGCAGCAATACGCTTCCGTAAGTGAGTATTATACATCCATGAAAGAAAAAAACAGAAAAAGATTAGGAAAAAAATCTATACATTTTACTTTTTCAAAGGCACGTTGATCAAATAGGGTTTAAGAATCTTTTTGCAACTTTAATCTATAGTCAAAATAGGCCTAGCAGAAATAGCAAAAACTTTGGGTTTTTTATATGAATATCAGAAACAAGTACACCTATGAATGAGACCATCAATCATATGCTTTCTCAAATTCATTTTGAACATGACGGGGATTCCATTGGCATGGAAAATAACCTGAAGTGACTCTGGGGCATCTAATTAGAAGAGTTAAGTACAAGTAAATTTAAAACTCTGCTGCCAACACTATTGAGTTGTCTTTGGCAAAAAAAATGTTCTATGTCCATATAAAACCATATAATAATAATAATAATAATAATAATAATAATAATAATAATAATAATAATAATAATAATAATAATAATATATGTAAAGACATTATAATAATGTTAAAATCTATCAAAACAATGCATGATTCGGATATTCGATTGGACCATAAAAAACAATGGTCCTTTTATGAAGATTGGCCTTAGCATGTTTCAGAGTAGCATATTCGTAGTATCGAATTGACAATATTTAATTTCATTTCACTTAATTTCATTTATTTATCAGATAATTCCAACATAAAACAAATCTATATTAGTAGGTTATTAAAACAATCAATCTATTTGGTTACCTTATAGTATGGTATTAGTATAGTATTATTATTTTCAAGGTCATTAGACGACTCGAAGAGAAAGTGATCCGCACGTCGTAAGCTGTGCTATTATTTAAACACCGGAATGGTAGCGTATTTTTTCTTTAAATGGGGGAGGTGGTGGCAGTGCGCGAAGGTCACTTGGGAAGCTCAATTATAATTCTTAAAATAAGGTGGTTTTTTTTGGTGGAGAGACTGAGTGGCCCAAGATTTATATTAAATGTATTTGGGGATCAAAAAGCTTATATATTGATGTTGTCATCATATGCTTTTTGTTTACCGTATATAATTTGATATAAAACGCATGTGGCACTGCACATTATGCTCTATGTAACTGTAAATAATAATAATATAATTACTATTACTTGTTCCTCTGGACACTACAGTCAGTTGTGGGCTCTAGCAGATACAATGCCAGCAAAGGCCCCACTCATGAAGCGGTAGGACCAGTGGCGGCTCTAGAATATAATTTATGGGGGGCTAAGATGTCCGACTTGGGGGTGAGGGAGGCTAAGTATTTTTGGGTGTAACTATAGCCAAGGGCCTGAGCAGGGGTGAGTATGGGAGGGGGTGTCACCTCCTCCCAAAATGAGATTTTTTTTTAATGGGACTTCTAGACAAGTAAGATGGCCTTAAACGGCTGAGATGGAAAAACTAGGCCTATTTTTTTTTCGGTCCGACTGCCCGACGAGCTTTCGGTACGACTGCCGACGAGCTTTAGTCGATGGGCGGGGAGGGGGAAGGCTTGACCAGACCGATGGAGGGAGGCTTAAGCCCGCCTTCTCCCTCCCCACCCCCCACTTGTGCCGCCACTGAAGTTGTTTACTCGTTGTTACTGTTTTGTTCGATAATATGTTTTGCATTGGGTTGCTTGAGGTTTACTCGGAGGTTGTAAATGACTTGTATGCTGATCAAGGCATATGGAAATTTGTATTGTTTATATACCCACCAATATTTTCTATAATTGGGGAGACACTGGTATTTATAAAACAGGTTGCAAAACCAAAATGGTAAATTGTAAAGTCACTGAGGACAACAACAGCTAAAAAAAAAACTAATTTATGATGAAATACACTGCATACTTGGCCTTTTATGAATCAGCAATTTAGTATATGACTTAACGACCGTGTTTAAAGATAGAGCTTAAATCAATATTATAGGGATTCAAGTCCATTTACAAGTATGATAAACAGCTCGTCGGTTGACACTGAGTATTTGTTCTTTATAGTAGGCTAGTCCTATTCAAACCCATGCCTGGGACAGTTAATAATATAGGCTTAACCCCTAGTCTTTCGAAACTTGTGAGACTGACTTTTAAGGATAGGGATTATCACAATATGGAAATACACTGTAGGCCTAGTGCTGCTCAAAGGTAGAAGTCGATGTCTTCCACCTTCCGCGAGCGCCAACATTGGATGCGCTTATCAAAATGACTACTAATGGTTGAGGACTACAAGAAAATTTCGGACCGAAAGAAATGTAATGAATATTTATTTTGTTCCGATATTTCCCTATCGAGATCCGGGGTGGATTTAAGGGGTTGGAGAGATCGAAAAAAATAAAGAAGGGAAAAAATTATTGATTCCCCAAAACGCCTCAGAGAATATTAAGAGGCGTCTAGAAAACTAAAATCCCCCCACCCAGGCTAATGTTGACTCTTTTTCGGGCGGAGATTCGTCGCTTTCACACGACTAATTTCACACCTTGCTAAAAGTAGATACGATACGATAAAAAAATTTTCCCTACGCAAAATTAAAATAATACACATTACTCGAAGAAACAATTGGTGATGTAAATAAACGCACTTCCAGAATTAGATCCTGTCCGTGCGTCAATCACCACCATTATTTCATCATTTTAAATCCGCTATAGGCCTAACAGACAAAAAAAAAAAATAATAATAAATAATAATAATACTAAAATAATAATAATAATAATAATAATAATTTTTATTATTATTATTATTATTATTATATTTTATTATATTTTATTATTATTATTATTATTATTATTATTATTATTATTATTATTATTATTATAACACTAACAAGACTACTTGTTCACCATGATGCCCTACTTTTTGAAGAAAACAAGTAAGGGGAACTCTTGGGATGGTGTACCAACAAAAGCTTCTACACGTCATTGGTAGTTGGTAATCAAGCTTCGTCGTTGAAACAGGTGAACCGTTTCGACCTCTAGAATAAAAAAAAGTAAGTTTCTCAATTCACAGGAAATTATAGTTTTAGGAGATATACGTTTTAGCCTTAATCGTTAGTATGGAGCCACTTTTTATCGTTGACCGGGGATTTAACGAAATGTACAGTATTTTGGCCAGCACCAATTCAGTCCCTGTTAATGTTACCCCAGATCCAGGCACGTTTTGTAGCTGACACGAGAAGAGTTACATGCTACTAAAAACGCCTAAAAACTACATTGAGATGCTTTTGTTTGACCATTTCTATTTCTTATATAGATGACGGGTGGGTGGGGAGTGGGGAGGTTCTCGACGAGTGTAGCCGATGTCCCCAATGAGAAGAAAGTGGGCGTTGTCGGGCGTCGCTCAAAATATTTCGAATTATTAGTGAACGCTATCTATAAACTCGATTAAATATGCCTTTGAAACTCCTAAATTCTCATATGTTTCGACCTGGACCCCTTGACCAACCACTAAAACATTCTCAAGTAATTGTGCTTTTCTCTCTGCTACAGAGGAACAGCTCTCCTCGATGCAAAACTATGCGATTTTTTTTTGTACCTCTATACTCATTAGAAATGTCACCTTTAACCTGTATTACGTTTCATTTACTGTACCGTACCTCACATTTATCATACTTTGCTTGTCAACATATCGTTACCAACCTTCATCTTTTTTTAAAAGTCAAATAGTTAAAGATAAATTGCCTGCCATACCTTAGGCCTACAGTATCGTTTGCCTGTGTAATGGGCTTAGTTATCTATTTTTCTTAAGTAGAGGTCTACAGCATGCATACATTAAGTACTGCATCATTCATTTTCCAAATAAAATTCGATAATCAGATACCTATAATATATGTAGCCTACAATTGTTTGTAGGCCTACCCCACATCCGCCATCTTTTTATCCGGAAACAGTACATGATTGCTCCCAGCTCTTTACCAGTTACATAATATTTTTGTACCAAAGTTCACCGTAATTTATAAGATTAATATTTAGAGATAAAAGGCATAATATCTTCCTATGCTTTGCTTTGTTATCTCTTTTCTTGTCCTCAGAGCATAACAAGCACTTTAAGTACGGTATATATAACAATTTAATTTTTTTAGATAAAGTCCGATAAAGCCTACAATTGTTTGTACAGTAACTCTGATACTCCCTTTCGAGGTAGGCATTTTGTTTAAGCTTTCTGCATCGTCGGAACCAATTTTCTTTTTACATCGAACAACACATGTACATTTATTTTTTATTTATTTATTTATTAATTTTTTTTTTTGAGGAACACATTTTATAAGAACACTGAGAATAAAGAACAAAAATAAGAACAAATTGAGGCTGAGTTATAGTGTGAGAAGATGTTTTTTTTTTAAATAAAAAAAGCAAAACATCTTACAGAATCTGCACATTATTTACAGTACGGTGGTGTGACTATTTAGTACCCTAAATGATACAGTAGAATGATATACTGCTGTACAATAATAATTTTGTATACAAAATTGTGTAAAAATAAGAACAAAATAAGAACATTTTGAGTCTGAAATCAGCAAAAATAAGAACACTAATCCCGAGAAAATTTTACTGGTTCTTGTAAAAAGTGTATTTCAGAACTACTGGATTTTCAAGGGATTTTCAATGCTGTTAGATATCCCTGCTGTGACGGTTCCCTGGCCAAACCTGCATAAGTTATTTATCTGTGTCTCTAATTGCTGATTTTGTTCTGGAGATATTCATATAGAAACCAGTCAAGTTTATCACAACATCGAATTCATTCGTATATTTTTGCCGGGCCTTCGTACCTGTAGGAACAAAGGAACATTTTAGTGTTTCTCTACTAGCCCAGGGCCGGCGCCAACGGGGCATTTGCTCGTTCGTCGGACAGACCTGGACCCCACTGTCCTCGGAAATAAAACAAAATATTACAGTTTGCCTATTCAATTAACGTTATTTTGATTGCCAATCCCTAATATTGTGGTCTAAAAGTACATTTTAAAAACGTTAATGTAAGTGAAAGGCGACAGAATACTGCAGTGTAATCTAGGTAAAAAGTCATATCAAATAGGCCTACAAGGTAGAAGTGTATTGAATAGGTTTAATTTTTAATTAAATCTAAGTAGGTCTACTTTTGCATCCAAATTGCACCGACATTTAACCATTATTTTATATTCTGAAGAGTCCTACCCCAGTGGCAATTACAAAATTTCGTACCATGAACCATTGATATATGAGCGGTTTGGCGAAGTGTTGTGTTTCTACGTTTCAATTTTGAGGTTGGAGGTTCAACCTGTGCTGTGCATTTCGCCTGTGTTCTTGGGCAAGGCAAAATATGTTGTCTTTCTCCACCCAGCAGTGCAAGTGGGTACCTGGTAGGTACAAACACAAGTGCACAGACAAAAAAAAAATCAAAAAAAAAAAAAATCAATGATAGTGATCATGAACACATTGAAGACATTATCAAAAAGGGTAACAAAATAGTAGCGTATATTAGATCGATCATTGATGGTCAAGATGACTTCAATAGAGTGTATTATTATTATTATTATTATTATTGTGATTTACTATAGAAGACAATAGGACTTCCTTCAATTAACTATGCATGCTCCCTTTGGATTCAATGTAATACAAATCAATTAATAAATTAAAAATCCTACAATATCATATGGCCAAGGCAATTTTAAAAGCATCCAGAAATGTAGCCAACGAAGCATTACTTGATGTTTTAAGGTGGGATTCCATTGAAACAATACAGAACATTACGGTATACAGTATAGAATAAAATATTTTAATGGGCGTAAGAAAATGGAGGATGATAGATGGCTTAGATTGTTGTGTGAAGCACTTATAGAGGTTACCGTATATCTACTGCAAGATGAAATTGGATCGAGAGTGTAAAAACAATTCTAGATAAATATGATTTAAATGAAAAATTTAACATGGAACCACATAAAACAATGTGGTTAAAATCGTGTAATGAAAAGATCTTAGTTGATTATGATAAAGAATGACTTTAAAATTATTATTTATAAAAACTGATTATTTAAAGTACAAAAATGCACCAACTATGGAATACTATCTTTTGGATAAAGTAAATTTTCAAGGTATAAATCTAAAATTCAAAGCAAGAACCAATACTTTGGATCTTGAAGGCAGAAAACGGCCATGGTCCGATAGTTATTCTGACTATTGCATTATATGCAAAAGTAAGGAAATAGAATCAGTCGATCATCTCCTCTTTGATTGTGAAATTTTATCCACCATAAGAAATATGCTTTAGCAATCTAAAAAGTGATTTTTTGAATATGTAATATTAATGAATATTTTTGGGATATTTTTGTGAAAGGTTCCCAGGAATTTAAACATCATCTACTTCTAGACAATATTTATAATATGTGTAAAGATGAAGAAATTTGTATGATTTTTGATAAACACTGTGAATGTTTTTTTTTTAATTTTTTTATCCAAGGCTATTGCTCATTGTCATAAATTAATGAAAGAAATTACCACCCCTACTTAATTTTTAATTTATTTTCATAATTTTTCTTCTGTAGGCCTATATTGACTTAATGTAAACAGCTATTTTACACTCTGTATTAAATTTTTTACTGTATTTTGATTTATATTCTTTTATATCATTATTATATTGTATTTTCTGGGTCGAACCTCTCCTGCGCGAGAGTGTTCCTCCGTTTTAAAGGAAAGTAGCAATAAATCGTATCGTATCCTACAACTACAACATTATGGAATTGTCCAAAGGAAACTCAGTGTGTTCATGTACTTGATCCAATGAACGGGGGAAATAATGTGAAGGGCTTAGGCCTTAATTGTTGGCATTAAGTCTGACGTATATTATTATATCAATAAAAATGGAAATGCGCTTACGAACACGTCCATGTAGTTGTTTTGAATATGGACGTAACTTTTCTTAATGTCAGCTATAAGTACCGACAGTGTCCCAATTGCTTGGTTTGCTCTGGAGATAGTACAAGTCAGCTTGCGTTTTTCTCAAATATTAACAATGTATTCGTTGACATACACTACGGTATCTCTATGAAATCGAATACTATGGACCCGCTAAATTCCTTAAAATGGCCCTGGCGACCATCACACTTCAGCCTCTTTTGCCTTTAGTGTTCGCGAAGACCTCCAGCTCCGGCGTTACGCCACTGCTAAGAGCTTTTGTTTAAATTTGATAAGTTGACTGCATTTAGGCCTACCTCTCATCAAGTTGTTTTACAAAATGCCTTGTATATTGGAAAAAATACAATACAAATGCAAATATTTAATATTTATATTAAGCAAAGTATAAACACTCTTTAAAGCGAAGTACGAGGCTATTGACGTAACAAAAGCACACTTTCAGTGAATGATTTCGTCGTCACGAATGTCGGAGGATTTTTTTGTTTTTTGTTTTTGTTCCGTCGATGCAATTTATATCATGGCGGCACCAACGCCTGAAATCGGAATGGGCAGTAAGGGGAAAGATACAATGGGAGGGGGCACCCCCGACGAGAGCAAGTGGGCAAGGGTTGGGCGTATTTAAATGGTTCGAAAGTGGTCAAAACTATGACAATTTATTGGTTTCAGAGGCTTATTAATCGATTTTATAGATAGTGAGTCTACTAATATGTAATAATAATACATGTAATTGTTTTATCCTCGACGAATTGTGTTTTTTCTTCATTTTTGAGAGGGAGCGGCAATCAGTGGGAGAGAAAGATTTTTTTCTGGGGGTAAAATTACTACTAAAATTACTACTGCTGTATATCTCTACAGATAAAATGTTATTATCTTAAATGTAGACCTAAGATAAAAAATGGTTCGGCCATAGCCAGTACGGCCGGTGCCGTTACGACGACCCAATTTGAACTATTTGATACTTGCAAAGTCACTGCTAAGTACGGGATTCTCTAATGTAGGTGAGAGTTAATTCTACAAGTGTATAAAATAGGCCGAAATTTGAATGAACCTGTTCAGTTGGAAACAAACAACACTGTAGGCCTACGTTGAGAGACATACTGTTACGGTACGCTTGCTATAAACCGATCATTGGACTTGCCTGTTCTTTCAGTATGGATTCTCTCTTATGGGAATATGAAGGGGTTCCGCTGCTGAAGGATGTGACTCCGGAAGTGCTAGAAAATATAAAGGACTTCGAAGTCCGCGACGACGACATTTGGCTGTGTACATACCCCAAATCAGGTAAAACCAAATTATTTAATATACGTATATACACAAACCTACCCATCCCCATGCGGCAGGTAATCAATATTATATAGCACTGGGTTACAGGTGCGAATTCATCTGTCTGTCTGTCTGTCTGTCGTTCTGTCCGTCTGTCGGTCTCTCTGTCTGTCTATTCTGTCGGTCTCTCTGTCTGTCTATTCTATCTATCTATCTATCTATCTATCTATCTATCTATCTATCTATCTATCTATCTATCTATCTATCTATCTATCTATCTATCTATCTATCTATCTATCTATCTATCTATCTATCTATCTATCTATCTATCTATCTATCTATCTATCTATCTATCTATCTATCTATCTATCTATCTATCTATCTATCTATCTATCTATCTATCTATCTATCTATCTATCTATCTATCTATCTATCTATCTATCTATCTATCTATCTATCTATCTATCTATCTATCTATCTATCTATCTATCTATCTATCTATCTATCTATCTATCTATCTATCTATCTATCTATCTATCTATCTATCTATCTATCTATCTATCTATCTATCTATCTATCTATCTATCTATCTATCTATCTATCTATCTATCTATCTATCTATCTATCTATCTATCTATCTATCTATCTATCTATCTATCTATCTATCTATCTATCTATCTATCTATCTATCTATCTATCGTCACTGGTGTCCTCAAAATACGATCAGGAAAAATGAATTATTTACTAATATTATTTTTGTTCGAAAGGCACACATTGGTTGATGCAGATTATACAGCTACTACGGTTTGACGGTGACTTCGAAAAGGTGTTGGAAAGAGGTTTTAAAGACTCTCAGTTTTTGGAATTCTTTTTTCCAACACCAATTACAACACCATACGGTACGACAAGTTACGGTTACAAGTACTACGAACAGTTACCATCACCTCGCCTAGTTGTAACGCATCTACACTTGAAACTTCTTCCAAGACAAGTCTTTGAAAAAAAGGCAAAGGTATATGAATAACATTAGTTCAGCAGTATGTCGAAATATAGTTCACTTTGTGATAAAATCGCAATGTACGGTAACGTTAGTTTGTTTGTTGTTGGGCTTCTAATTTTATGCACATGACTATTCTTTATAGCTTTGTCTGAAAGGATCGTCATTAAAAATGATCCGTTGCGCGCGCATCGTCCTGTTGCATTCTTTATACAATCGCGTCGACCGTCGGCAGCAGAAAGTTCCCAGGTTAAGAGCCCCGAGAACCAAGAAAGCAGAGCTTGTAGTTAGGTTCTAGGTTTAAGTTTTTCTATTACTCTACATAATTTTATGATAAATTAATAACTTACGATAATAAAGTATACAAGGGAAAACAAGTATCATTATGTTTTACTGGAAGCAAAAACATATTGCTTACAGTATATATTTATTATTTCTACTTTTTTGTTTCAATTTAATAGTTGCTTCGTAATTGTGCTTTTAATGTGTGTTTATCGGGATATACGTACATTATTTATTAGAATGAATCAATCAACAATTGCAATTTAATTAACATTGTAATATATTGTACAGTACACGTCATTTTGTATCAGCTTTGAGATGAAAGGTACTGTATGTACTATAAGCCAATGCATGGCTTAAACTGCGCATGCCCGTATCCAGGTCAATCGACAAATCCCATACCGTGTGTATATTTGTTTTTGTCGACTGACTTTGATACGGGAATACGCAGTTGTAACTACGAATTTGCTTTCAGGCAACTTTTTTTTCCCTTTTTCAGGTGATATACGTTGCCAGGAATCCAAAGGACACAGCAGTGTCAGCGTATCATTTCTTGAAACCAATGTTTAAAAAAGCGAACATCGAGGTTGATTGGAATCAGTTTATTCAATTATTCACGACAGGCAAAGGTTCGTTAAAACTATTTTTTGTACCGTATATACTCGCGTATAAGTCAAGCCCTGTGTTTGAGATACCCCCTCCCCCCAGGGGCAGATCCAGAGATGTCCGAAAGGGTGGGGTGAAATTGTGGGACCGATTAAGATAACTCTAACCTAGGGGGTTGTGGGCATGCCCTTGTGAAGTGTTTGTGTTTTAGACGCCCAAAAACAACATCTAAGGCGTTTGGACTGTCTATTTTTTCTTTTTCTTTCTTTTTTTCTTTTGTTTTTAATTTCCAAAAGGGGTGAAGCCTCTCAACTACTACTGTGTCGTTCTAGCGACGTTTTAATCGGAAGTGCAAACTGTTTATTTTATTTTATTTTATTGAACTTTGTTTGGGGGGAGAAGCACAGCAGTCTAAAATAGAAAGTTAGTAGCACTTAACATTGATTTGCATTTAAATTCTTTAAATTTAGCGGTAAAACGCCCCCACACCCTACTGGATCCGCCCCTGCTCGGAGGTTTCCTCAAAGGTCTACACTAGATTCATTTAATTCATAACTACACATTTTAGTGCCTGCATGGTTAGTGTACATTGTACATACTTATGATTGTTCATTACAATTTATATTTTAATGACGATTAGTGAATATGGGCCTACCATATTTTTGGAAACGACGATTTTACATAAATATTTATATAAATATAATAATTTTAATTTAGAATAATAATGGTATTGAGTATTTCAATTTTTAATTAAACCAATTCCTGTCTTTGTTTGCACTTGATAACAGTTTTTTAAACTTTTGCTTTTAGTTCTTGGCAACCATGTTCAACCTTTTATGTTGTTGTGGAAAGAATGAAAATATACAAAAATAAAAAAATTAAAATAAAAACTTTCTTAATGATTTAACTATAGAGATTATTGTAATTAAATGTATTCTTAAATATAATGAATTTTGTCATCCATACACAATAGGCCTACATAATTCTCTGAAATATATTTACAGTTCCGTATGGACAATGGGCAACACACTTGCTACCATTTTGGAATCGCCGACATGAAGACAATGTGCTGTTCTTGAAGTTTGAAGATATGAAAAAGGTAATAGACGGATATGCTATATACATATAGGCGAGTTGAATGGCCGAGTGATTAAGCCACCTCATAGCCATAATATTGGCCTATGGCTGGGAACAATTCTTCTCTGATAAGGACTATATAAACCAAAACCATAGGCCCAGTGTACACAATTTGGATCGTGTGCACTTTTGTGTGTGTATGTGTAATACAACGAACCTGACGGTTATTTGAATCTGTACAGCAATAGCATTTGTGGCTGGACGCGAGAGGACGCAGGTTCGAATCCCGTCGGAGGCATTTTATTACACAATGTATTTGTTTGTCCTATTTATTGTATATAGGACAACATTCGTGAGGTGTGCTACACGATGAAGACTCCTTTAATAATAATAATAATGATAATATTAAAATTAATATGTCGTTCTTATCGCCTCATGCACAAAGCCTCTAAGCGCTTCACATTACTACCCCAGACATTGGATCAAATACGTATGGAACACATACTCAAGACCAAATTAAATTATATTATTATTATTCCATAATATTGCAGCTAGTAATCAGCGCAGTTGTATTCGAACCTACCAGGTACACACTTGTACTCCTGGGTGGAGAGAGGCAACCGTAATTATATTGCTTTAACGAGAGTTAAGTTTTATTTTCTAAGGTAGAGATTAATTAGATCTCTATTATAGCCGAAAATCGCTGATAGAAGATCATGGTGATGTTATGATATGAATGTCTTTGCCGCGTCCAGCTTGAGGTACTATTTCCTCAAATTTTCAGGCCTCAACCTTAACCATGGTGGGGCTGAGGTAGGTGTGTACTCACGGCTTCGAAGTTATAGGCAAAATAAAAGTAAAAACATCAAATACAATGTTTTCTAATTTTTCTTATATGGTACAACACAATAATTGGATCTGGTTGCCACAAAATCGCTGATAAAAGATATAAGAAATTTTTTGGCACTTCATTTTGACTTGACTATAACGGTGATGTGATGATGACGAATTTTACTACATTAAAGTGTTGTTTCCGGCCATATAGATGTACTATTTCCCCACAGGTTATTTTGATCTCTGATTGCCGAATATCGTTGATAAAGTTAATTCAAATTTTCGCGGTGGTAGGCTCATAGTTTTAAAGTAGGTAAAGTATTTACATTAAAGACAATGTTTTTAAGTTTTATTTCCTATGGTACATCACGCATATAATTAGATCTCTATGGTTGCCGAAAATCACTGATAAAAGGTTATGAGAAATAATGGTGATGTGATGATGATGAATTTTACTATAAAGAGTGTCATTTCCGGCATGCAATTTAGAGATACTCTTTCCTAAAATGTTTGCACCTCAGCCCAAGACATGGTGGGGCTGATGTGGGTGTGGTCTCACGAAATGTCCCACTACCTTTCAAAACAGATTTGCGCTTTGGTAGGGGCGGCAACCCACTGTTGGGGGTACCAGCCATCTGTCGGGGAGGAGCTGGCGCACCACTGCAACCCATAAAATCGCAATAGTATACACCTCGCACATACGGTAGCACTGCTCGCACTAAACAGTTTTTAATCCCTGAAATTGTGACATCTTAGTAAGGCATGCTTGAATTGTACTGTCGGAGCTCGAGATTTGGATTTTCCCCGGCGACCTTGCTTGAAATTCCCTTAAAGGGTGGTCCAAGCGGGGGAGGGGTAAAGAAGTCCCTGACGGGCCTCCTCCTCATTCATATATATATATATATATATATTCCATCATGTCCTTATATGAACACTGTACTGTATATGTACCTTTGACGATTTATATTATATATATATACATGTATGTATATATATATATATATATATATATATATAATAAATTATGCATATATAGTATGTATACTTTGTAGTTGTCTCAGATATTATTATAATGTTCGAAAAGTTGCGGAATTTACAGGCTTATCTACATCCGAAACAGTTCTGCAAAAGACTGTCGAAAACTCATCGGCTAAAAAGACAAAAGTAGTCATGGACAACGAAGTATCCGACGCTGTGAAACAGATCGGTGTAGGAAATTTTGTGCGTAAAGGTACGGTATTGTCTTCTCAGTCTATAGCAACGTTCCGCAAGCATATTATGCGCATCCCAAAAATGGGACACCAAGAAAATCACAGAGCTACAAAGTTTTTTTCTACTTGATCTTAGACAGGGGCGTATTAAGGGGAGTGGGCTGGGCTGCTCCCTTTTTGGAAAGAAAAAAAAAAGGAAAAATGGCAAAAAAAAAAATTGATCGCCCGAAACGCCTGAGAGGTTATGTTTGTGCGTCTAGAAAACAAAAGTTCCCTCCTAATGTAGCACTCTTTCTCATTTTCGATCCGGGAAGCGGGACTTTTTGTTTAAAAGCACAACATACTTTGGGACAACTTATGCGTTCCCTCTAGTGAGGCATACTTTGTTACTTTGTTCATGTAGTATCGTATGTCTATTTTTTCTTTTTTGAAATGAGTAATTATAAAAACGATTGGACAATTAAAAAAATTAAAAGTTTATGTAGGTCTCCCTCTAATTAAGGACCACTTCTAGGACTGGGGTTTTCGTGGCCTTTATCAGAGGTTTGGATAATTGAAAAATACATAATCAAAGTAAAATTGAAAGCAGAAATGCAGCAATCAAAACGTTCAAAAAAGAATATATATTTTTTCATGACTTTCAAATTAAACATAAAGAACATACAGAATCGAGAAAAAAAGAATCGAGAGAGGAACAAAGAAGCCCTAGACTTGTCCATTTAAACAGGGCAGGCAAGGCAAGGAGACAATGAGGGACATTCGCAAAAACCAGGGTTAGAAGAGGGATAGAAATATATGAAAATTACCGAAAATTCAATAATTGGCAGTTACTCGAAAATAAAACCGAAAAAAAAACATAATTTAAAAATTTCTTTAATTATTTGATCTAGAAAAGTAAATCGTAATTTTTCTTTTAATTATTAGTATATATATTTACATATTTGTAAACAATAGCGACCATAGTATAACAATAAAAATAAACACGTAAAATAAACAAACACATAAATAAATTAGTTAATCTGATAAACATCTCTGTCGTATTGCGATTAATCACTAATTTTTTTCTGCGTCTCGCACTCCATCATGAGGTCACATGGAGTTTACCGTAGCCGACAGACATTTGGCCTACAGACTGACTGTATTTTGAGAATAATTGGGTTTTTATAATTATGTTGGACGAAATTATAATTTCCGTAGAAATGTAATATTTCCGTAGTAGTTAGGCATTAGGTAGTAGTAGTTAATTTCTGAACGTTCGTAATTGGACCAAATGTCCGTAAAAATGGTACCAACTACGGACAATCCGTAGTATTTGAGAAGTTTGCATTGGTTACTGAATTGCGTTTCACGTTAACTGAAGAGTAGCACCTTTCCTCACAATAGTTCCCCACTTTCCCACCCCCCACCTTCTTCTAGCCAGCGCCCTCCTACTGGACAGCGCCGCCAACGAGTGAATTAAGTTGAGTAAAAAATCGAGTGTGAAAGCTAATAAAATTTAGTGTCAGCAAAGCCTAATCTCTTACGACTGCTCTATTACTCTTCTTCCATGATAATGAGGTTGATAATAATGAAGGCGATGATGATAATGAAGGTGATGATGAAGATGAAAATGATGATGTGGCGGTGGTGGTGGTGGTAATTGTCATGAAAGTTGATCATAGTGATGATGATATGAATTGGTGAAAATACGATATGATGTGATGATTCATTTTGTTTATCATTCAGGTATTGTTGGTGATTGGAAGTGCACATTTACCGTATCTCAGAGTGCAGCATATGATGAAATAATAAGGAATTACTTGAAAGGATTGGGACTAGTATTTGAGTATGAATAGGTATTATGCTGTTTAAACGGCTAAAGCTCTCTATCCACACTATCAAAGTTAATTTGAAAAATAACTGCGAATTGCCCATAATGGGTCTTATATGACATCAACGTGTCCATATATGGATATAATATGACATCATCATGTCCATATGGTTGTGATATGAGATCATTCAACATGTTCATAATGGATGTGATATGACATCACAATGTTCATGCATATGGCATCATCATGCCCATATATGGATGTATGGATGTTGAATGACAAATTTCCATATATGAATTTTGTACGATCACCATGTGTATATATGGATGTGATAAGGCATCATGGTGTCCATATATGAATGTGATATGACATCATCATGCCTACATATGGATGTGACATGACATCTTAATGTTCGTAGACAGTATGATGTTGAATGACATCATTTCCATATAGGAATGTTGTATGATTATTATGTCTATATATGGCTATGGTATGGCATCATCATGTCCATATATGGATGTGATATGACATCATTATGTCCATATATGGATGTGATATATCATCATGCCCATGTTATGAGTTATTCACACAAATTTGTCACTTTAAACATCTTAGTATGCCTAGAGCTTTGCGTCTGATAAAGTTTTCATGAACAAAGGTTCAGGACTACATAATGGAGTTGGAATATAATACTGTATTACATTTACAGTTACAGGCCTATTTTGAATGTTTTTAAAATTTATGTAAAAATAAGATATGTTTTTAAAAATATGTGAGTGCCAGTCATTATGTAAATATCACATTATAATTATGGGGACAATACTTAAATTATTACATAGAAGTCCACTTGTATTAGCACCATTAATATCTTAATGGTTTCTTTGGGATTTTTAGAATGCATTTAACTACAGTTCAGACACTATCGTAGCAGATTTAGTTAACAGGTAGGAATAATTTGTTGTTGCATCAGAGTCTCCTGAACTTTTCCGTTAAGCTGTGTCTCTTGGATAAAAACGTCAGCAAAAGCGTTAGTGGAACAGCAAGTGTGTTTGTGAAGTGTGACAATCACGTTCATAGAACGGTTCCGATTGGCCATTTGTTAAGTTTGGTTGACACGACGGGAAGGTCCATCGTGTGGTCCATGAAGAGAGTTTGAATATGTGTAGATATATATTTTTAAATTATGTGAATGATATCGTATTCGAACAATAATTGGAAGGTCTTGGGTTCGGATCCGATAGGGAATAATGTTTATCTCAAATATTATTAATCCACAATAACCCTCATGTTACTTACGATTATTTATTGCGTACTTCGCAATACATTGTGGAAAAATTAATTCCTGGTAGGAAAAATTATATTGACATAACTCTGAAAACAAATTGTGTAAAAATTATTCTGCGATGGTTGAAATAAAGGTGAGATGCACCCACGAAAGACAAAAAAAAAACTGGACAGCACCACCAACGAGCGAATTAAGTTGAGTAAAAAGAATTCGAGTATGGAAGCTAATAAAATTTAGTGTCATCAAAGCCTAATCCCTTACGACTGCTCTATTACTCTCCCTCCATGATAATGAGGTTGATAATAATGAAGGTGATGATGATAATGAAGGTGATGATGCAGATGTAGGTGATGATGAAGATGATGATGTGGCAGTGGTGGTGTTTATTATCATGACAGTTGACCATAGTGATGATAATATCAATTGGTGAAGATAAGATATGATGTGATGATTTATTTTGTTTATCATTCAGGTATTGTTGGTGATTGGAAATGCACATTTACCGTATCTCAGAGTGCAGCATATGATGAAATAATAAGGAATTACTTGAAAGGAACGGGACTAGTATTTGAGTATGAATAGGTATTATGCTGTTTAAACGGCTAAAGCTCTCTATCCACACTATCAAAGTTAATTTGAAAAATAACTGTGAATTGCCCATAATGGGTATTATATGACATTAACATGTCCATATATGGATATAATATGACATCATCATGTCCATATGGTTGTGATATGAGATCATTCAACATGTTCATAATGGATGTGATATGACATCACCATGTTCATGCATATGGCATCGTCATGCCCATATATGGATGTATGGATGTTGAATGACATATTTCCATATATGAATTTTTTACGATCACCATGTGTATATATGGATGTGATAAGGCATCATGGTGTCCATATATGAATGTGATATGACATCATCATGCCTACATATTGATTTGACATGACATCTTAATGTCCGTAGACAGCATGATGTTGAATGACATCATTTCCATATAGGAATGTTGTATGATTATTATGTCTATATATGGCTATGGTATGGCATCATCATGTCCATATATGGATGTAATATGACATCATTATGTCCATATATGGATGTGATATATCATCATGCCCATGTTATGAGTTATTCACACAAAATTGTCACATGAAACATCTTAGTATGCCTAGAGCTTGGCGTCTGATAAAGTTTTCATGAACAAAGGTTCAGGACTACATAATGGAGTTGAAATATAATACTGTATTACATTTACAGTTATAGGCCTATTTTGAATGTTTTTAAAATTTATGTAAAAATAAGATATGTTTTTAAAAATATGTGAGTGCCAGTCAATATATAAATATCACATTATAATTATGGAGACAATACTTAAATTATTACATGGAAGTCCACTTGTATTAGCACCATTAATATCTTTGGATTTTTGATGGCCTACATGGTTTCTTTGGGGTTTTTAGAAGGCAATTAATTACAGTTCAGACACTATCGTAGCAGAATTAGTTAACAGGTTGTTGCATTGGAGTCTCATGAACTTTTCCGTTAAGCTGTGTCTCTTGGATACTGATGCTAAAGGTTCCATAAAAACGTCAGCAAAAGCTGAACAGCAAGTGTGTTTGTGAAGTGTGACAATCATGTTCCTAGAACGGTTCCGATTGGCCATTTGATAAGTTTGGTTGACACGACGGGAAGGTCCATCGTGTGGTCCATGGATATATATTGTTGATTTTACTTGTGATTATATTAAAAGCCTACTATCTTATTGTAAAAAATTATTGCCGAAATGACAAATAAAGCTAAATTTCGAAACTTGTTTTTGAAGTGTTTTGCTTATTTACATACGTTCTCTTAAATCTGTATGGTGGTGAATCCAGTAACAATAACAGTAATGATATAACAATATGTTATTATCTTATTATTATTATTATTATTATTATTATTATTATTATTATTATTATTATATTATTATTACTATTACAATTATATAATTTACAAGCCATAATTTACAAGCCAAGTGTAAAACAGATAATCAATAAAAAGAAAATAGCTTTTAAGAATAGAGATACACAACTTAAATTAATTAAGAAAAAACTCAAACCTGGAATTCGTCAAAGCAAAGAAGTATATAAAAACGAAATAGAAAATAATTTACAGAAAATAACACGAAACGGGTGTGGCATGGTATGCGTTTATTGAGTTAATTCAAATGTTAAAACACAAAATAGTAGATTACCAAATGAGTCAACTCAGGGAACAGTGTAATTTCACTGTTCCCTAGTCAACTGAATATGCCACCAAACTAAACAATTTCTTTCATATATTTGATAGATAATATAGTTCCTTAATGGCATGTTGTTCAGTCACTGTCAGTTAAATGAAGAACGTCTTCGCCTTGTGCTGTAGCTGAAAGGAAAAAAAACAAGGGGTATATTGCGTACAGTGTTTGGAAAGATTGGTAATGTTCATAATAACGTATTAGTGGTCTAATGAGCCAATGCATTAGTTAAGGATCAAATAAATTCAACTAGAATTTAATTTATACAAATTGAAATGAACATATAGGTTCATCGAATAATTTATAGATCAAATAATTCATTAACTGATCGATCAGCTGCTTAATTTACATTATCATTTAATCGGTTGAGACAATCACGTATTCAATCAATTATTCAATCAATCAATCATTCACATATTTAGTTAATTAATTTAACTAATGACTGATACATGTGAAACCCAAGCGTATGAAGTGGAAATGAAACTTACCTCTCTGCTTCTCGGCTGTGGCCTTTCTTGCACCTGATCGGTCTTAATAAGCCATGATTCTATTTTTTCCTCAGATGTAACTTCAGTGATATCTCTTAAAGTCCCTTTTGCCAAAGCTAAATAAATTAAAAGTCTAAATTGACAACTACTGATACAGTCATATGGGTTTATAGGTATCACTTGAGAAAACATCAGAACTAAATACGTTGGGCCAACGTGGTTGGTTTTACGATGTTGCACAAACATTATCGGGCCAACGTTGATCCAAATACTCGGGCCGACGTCTTCCCAACAAGTTGAATCGACGTTGAGCCGATGGAAAATCGAACGCCAACCTAAGTGTAAGTACGTTGTGCCAACGTAATTTGACCTTCAACCAACGTCGCTTGCTAGCTGGGAGAGAGCAGCTTAGGTCAGATGCCTAAACTGGTAGTAGCCACTGTGTGTGCACTGAAACGTGGGGATCTCCAGGTCTCCGATTCAGTTGCCATTCCTGCTCTTCTTGTGTTTGAGCTGGGGGGGGGGGGGCTGAAATTCGGAAAAGAGTATGGGATTGTTACCCGGTGTAATGCCCAATTACCTCCAGAAATACCGCACTCACTGGTGGATCCAAGAATTTGAAATAGAGGGGACACGGAGAGTGACTTTCACAGATGGAAGGTCTGTTCTAATACCTCAGCCCCACCATGGTTAGGGATGAGGTAAGAAGATTTACGATTATGGCACCATTAGATGGTCGGAAATGACACTCTCATACTGAACATTTGAGTCGAATTTTCTTTTTCTGATTTTCGTTTTTTTTTTGTTTTTTTTTTTTAAAATTAGGTGGGTGGGGCAGGCTGGGCCCTCCTTGAATTCGCCTATGAAATGGAAACAAGTATTCGTCAGACTTTTGTCGGTTATTCTTGGTGTTTACACCGAATATATCCATCCATCTATAAGAGACGGATATGGAGAAAGAATTTTGTTTAAAAATGATGAGACAGACATTAAAACAAAAATTAGCTTGTTTTTGAATAGGCCTACAGTGACGCGACGCCATGCTCCCTTATTTCTGGACTTTCTTCTCTCAATTTTTCTCTATTTTTGGGAGTTGGGATAAACCCGGTGTTCCCTGGACCCGCCCGCTCCTAAAACGATTGCTTGATGATACTTGATTATATTGGCAAAACTAAATTGATGGGACTTAGATTTGTTCTATAGCTGGGACTACATTGAGCTGATATCAGGTGATTTTTAATTACTTGAGCATGATTTGTGGGGGGGGGGGAGGGGCGCGACTGGGGATGGGTATTTTTTTTCAGGGGTAGGGAAGGACGTGCGGCCCCCCTGTACATCCTAGATATGCCAATACTAGCATACCCTGTGATTTACTATACGGTCCGCTACTACCCCACATCTATCATACTTTGCTTGTCAATACATATCCTTACCAACTTTCATCTATTTTTTTAAGTCAAATAGGTACAGAAAAATTGCCTACCACCCTAGGCCTACAATATGTTTTGCCTGTGTGATGGGATTAGTTATCTGTTTTTCTTTAATTAGAGGTCTACAGCTTGTATACATTAATTACTGTATCATTCATATTCCAAATAGAATCAGATATCTATCATAGCCTACAATTGTTTGCAGGCCTACCCCACATCCGCCATCTTTTACCCGGGAACAGTACGTACATGACTGCTCCCAGCTTTTTATTACATATCACTGTTGCACAACTTTCACCCTAATTTATAAGGTGCTTTGCTTTGTTATCTATTTTTCTTGTCCTCAGAGCATAACAAACACTTTAAGTATACAGTATATAACCATTTCCTTTTTCAAATAAAGTTCGATGTAGCCTACAATTGTTTGTACAGTAAATTTTATTTTATTTTTTTTTAAAATTCATATTTTTTTGAGGAACACATTATATAAGAACACCGAGAATAAACAACAAAAATAAGAACAAATTGAGGCTGAGGTATAGTGTAGTGATGTTTTATTTTTTAAAATAGAAAAACCAACAAATCCTACAGAATTTGTACCTTATTTACAGTACGGTAGGTGTGAATATGTAGTACCTTAAATAATACAGTAAAGTGATATACTGCTGTATAATAATAATTTTGTATACAAAATTGTGTAAAAATAAGAACAAAATAAGAACACTGAGCCTCGAGCTACTGGATTTTCAAGGGTTTTCCAATGCTGCTAGATCCCTGCGACGGCTCCCTGGCTAAGCCTATATTTGCTGATTGCTCTGGAGATATTTATATACAAACCAGTGAAGTTTATCACAACATCGAATCCATTCGTATATTTTTGCCGGGCCTTCGTACCTGTACTCCGACAAAGGAACATTTATTGGTTCTTTACTAGCCCAGGGCCGGCACCAGCGGGGAATTTGCTCGTTCGTCGGACAGGCCTGGACCCCACTGTCGCTCGAAAATAAAACAAAATAATAATTTGCCTATTCAAATAACATTATTTTGATTGCCAATCCCTAATATTGTGGTCTAAAAGTACATTTTGGACCATGTACACTAAGCCATAAAACTTCCCTGCAGTGAACCCTACAAGTGTCGGACATCTTGTCGGAAAATTCTGGCGCCACCGCTGCCCCAACCATGGGCTCACTTTCATCAATCCCACATGATTCATACCGCGTGGTCGTCGCCGTCATGATTATCATTACCATCATCATCACCATCATCATCATCATCATCATCATCATCATCATCATCATCATCATCATCATCATCATCATCATCATCATCATCAACATCATCATCTGAGCAACAAAATTATCTAATTGAAGCTCTAGATCCAGTCAGCGTGGGCTCTAGGTATCTACTCGCTCCCCCCAGAAAGCACGCTCAAGTAGTTAAAATCACCTAAAATCATTTTATTTTGTGAATTAGCGCCTTCCCGCCCCTCCTTCCCCAATCAGCACCCCCATTTCAAGATTTCTAGATAACGCCACTGTCTGGATCCGCACTTGACAACGAAGACGATGATGATGATGATGATGATGATGATGACGATGACGATGATGATGACGATGACGATGACGACGACGACGACGATGTCGGTGATGGTGGTGATGATGATGATCATGATGATGATGTTGATGATGATGATGATAATGATAATAATGATGATGATGGATGATGATTATATTGGTGGTGATGATGATGATGATGATGGATGATGACGAGGATGATGATGATGATGTTGTTGATGATGATGATAATGATAATAATGATGATGATGGATGGTGATTATATTGGTGGTGATGATGATGATGATGATGATGATGATATTGATGATGACGAGGATGATGATGATGATGACCCGATAATGGTTTCACACAACCTAGGTTTTAATAATATACGTATCTGTTTATCACATATTATTTGGAAAAGGAATATTCGTATTTTAAGAACATGTTATACTTTTGACCTCTAGTTAAAAAAAAAGAGATAACAAAGCGTCTCAAACAGGCAAAACAAAAAAGAAGTAAGCCTATTATCTATTGACCTTGAAAATTATGTTGAAATTAGTAAACAAGAATATGTGCTAAGTGAAAGGCGACGGATATGGGGTAATGTAAGTGAAAGGCGACAACAGAATACTGCAGCGTAATCTAGGTAAAAGTTCATATATCGAATAGGCCTACAAGGTAGAAGTGTATTGAATAGGTTTAATTTTAAGTTAAATTATTACAAAACCAAGTAGGTCTACTTTTGCATCCAAATTGAATCGACATTTAACCATTATTTTATATTCTGAAGAGTCCTACCCCAGTGAAAACTACTGTCTCGTACCATGAACCATTGATATTGTATGAGCGGTTTGGCGCAGTGTTGTGTTTCTGCGTCTCAATTTTGAGGTTGGAGGTTCAATTCCTCGTTATGGATTTCGCCTGTGTCATTCAGCAAGGTGCTTTACCTACGGTTGTCTCTCACCACCCAGCAGTACAAGTGGGTACCTGGTAGGTACAAACACAAAATGCACTGAAAAAAACAATGATAATGATCACATGGAAGACATTATCAAAAAGGGTAACAAAATAGTAGGTATATTAGGTCAATTATATATGGTCAAGATGACTTCAATAGATTTTATTATGGTGATTTACTATAGAAGACAGCAGGACTTTCTTCAATTAACTATGCATGCTCCCTTTGGATTCGAGGTATTAAAAAATCAATTAATAAATTAAAAATCCTACAATATCATATGGCCAAGGCAATTTTAAAAGCATCCAGAAATGTAACCAACGAAGCATTACTTGGTGATTTGAGATGGGATTCCATTGAAACAATACAGAACATATATAGAATAAAATATTTTAATAGGCTTAAGAAAATGGAGGATGATAGATGGCCCTGATTGTTGTGTGAAGCACTTATGGAGGTTACATCTACTGCAAGATGAAAGTGGATCGACAGTGTAAAAACAATTCTAGATAAATATGATTTAAATGAAAAATTTAACCTAACTACATGTGGTTAAAATCTTGTAATGAAAAGATCTTAGTTGATTATGATAAAGAATGACTTTGAAATGCCAATAAAAAAGCATTAACTGATTATTTAAAGTACAAAAATGCACCAACCATGGAATACTATCTTTTGGATAAAGTAAATTTTCAAGGTATAAATCTAAAATTCAAAGCAAGAACCAATACTTTGGATCTTGAAGGCAGAAAACGGTCATGGTCCGATAGTTATTCTGACTATTGCATTATATGCAAAAGTAAGGAAATAGAATGAGTCGATCATTTCCTCTTTGATTGTGAAATTTTATCCACCATAAGAAATATGCTTTAGCAATCTAAAAAGTGATTTTTTGAATATGCAATATTAATGAATATTTTTGGGATATTTTTGTGAAAGGTTCCCAGGAATTTAAACATCATCTACTTCTAGACAATATTTATAATATGTGTAAAGATGAAGAAATTTTTATGATTTTTGATAAACACTGTGATTTTTTTTTATCCAAGGCTTTTGCTCATTGTCATAAATTAATGAAAGAAATTACAACCCCTATTTAATTTATTTTCATAATTTTTCTTCTATACGCCTATATTGACTTAACATGTAAACAGCTGTTTTACACTCTGTATTAAATTTTTACTGTATTTTGATTTATATTGTTTTATATCATCTTTAGATTGTATTTTCTGGGTCGAACCTCTCCTGCGCGAGAGTGTTCCTCGGTTTTAAAGGAAAGTAGCAATAAATCGTATCGTATCCTACAACTACAACATTATGGAATTGTCCACAGGGAACTGAGTGTGTTCATGTACTTGATCCAATGACCGGGGGAAATAATGTGAAGCGCTTAGGCCTTAATTGTTGGCATTAAGTCTAACATATTATTATATCAACCTTTAGTGTTCGTGAGGACTTCCAGCTCCGGCGTTACGCCACTGCTAAGAGCTTTTGTTTAAATTTGGTAAGTTGACTGCATTTAGGCCTACCTCTAATCAAGTTGTTTTACAAAATGCCTTGTATATTAGAACAAATACAATACAAATGCAAATATTTAATATTTATATTAAGCAAAGTATGAACACTCTTTAAAGCGAAGTACGAGGCTATTGACGTAACAAAAGCAAACTTCAGTGAATGAATTCGTCGTCACGATTGTCGGAGAATTTTTGTTTTTTGTTTTTGTTCCGTCGATGCAATTTATCTCATGGCGGCACCAACGCCTCAAATCGGGCTGGGAAGTAGGGGAAAGATAAAATGGGAGGGGGAACCCCGAAGAGAGAAAAGTGGGCATGGTCGGGCGTATTAAAATGTTTCGAAAGTGGTCAAAAATATGACAATTTATTGGTTTCAGAGGTTTATTTAATTGATTTTTTTTTAATTGATTTAATTGATTAGTGTGTCTACTAATATGTAGAAAATACATGTAATTGTTTTTAATCTCGACGAATTGTGTTTTTTCTTCATTTTTGAGAAGAGGTGGCAATCAGTGGGAGAGAAAGAATTTTTCTGGGGGTAAAATTACTACTAAAATTACTACTGCTGTATATCTCTACAGATAAAATGTTATTATCTTAAAAGCAGGCCTAAGATAAAAAATTGTTCGGCCATAGCCAGTACGGTCGGTGCCGTTACGACGACCCAACATTTGAACTATTTGATACTTGCAAAGTCATTGCTAAGTACTATGGGATTCTCTAATGTAGGTGAGAGTTGATTTTACAAGCGTATAAAATAGGCCGAAATTTGACTGAACCAGTTCAGTTGGAAACAAACAGCACTGTACGTTGAGACATACTATTACGGTACGCTTGCTATAAACCGATCTTTGAACTTACCTGTTCTTTCAGTATGGATTCTCTCTTGTGGGAATATGAAGGGGTTCCGCTGATGAAGGATGTGACTCCGGAAGTGCTAAAAAATATAAAGGACTTCGATGTCCGCGACGACGACATTTGGCTGTGCACATACCCCAAATCAGGTAAAACCATATTGATTTAATATACGTATATACACAAACCAACCCATCCCCACGTGGCACGTAATCAATATTATGTAGCATCTAGATAGCCGAACACTGTATTTACCTTTCTTTGATGATATGTATAACAAAAGAATATATGGAACGAATAACATGAATAGATTTTAGAACACTTTATTGGATAAAACCAAAAAATAACAATGAAAATCAAACAGTAGCCGGGATATGACAAAAATAAACATGTGAAAAATAATTTAATAATATAATAGGCCTAAGTGGTGATCAAAAAGAAAGGAAAGAAAATGGTAACCGAAAGAATGATGTTAGTGGTGGCTGGATGTGCAATCGCTAATGATGCCAAGATCTTTGTTAAGGCCAAGGAGGTGGGTTTTGTATTTTAGATAATAATTTGAGTTAATTAATTTTTCTGTCTGAATGGGGAGACTTGAAATTACCTGCAATAATGGCACATTTTATGATGTTGATACTATGGTTAGGTGCATTGAAAGGCTCGTCAACAGGAAATCCGGGGAGACTTTTGCGGATAGAGGACTTGTGGTTATTAATTCTAGTACGAATTTAAGTGCTGGTCTGGCCTATATAATGAACAGTAGGGCAAATATTGCAGGTAATTAAGTAAATAATATCATATATATATACACATACTGTCTCTTATACACATCTAGATGTGTATAAGAGACAGGTTTTACAAGATTTCGGTGCCATAGATATAAGAAGTTTTGCAACCGTGTCTTCACTGACTGTCTCAAAGCTTTCAAGTTTGGTGATATGACATGAGGGATGAGATGCGGCCGTGAAAGATGAAACTTCAGATTTGATAGAGATACTCTGACGCAAACGTTTGATTTTATCAACAAAAAATGTGTTAAAGTCAGTAGCCAACTGAAGCTTACTGGATGATGGTGGTAAATTTGCCAGGGTTGTCCTACCAAGTAGCTTATTGGCAAGTTTGAACAGAGCTCTCTGATCATGTCCACATCCGTCGATCTTAGACTGGAGGTAAGAAACCCGAGAATCTTCAAGCGTACGGTGGTAAATATTGCATTGAATCTTATGATGATCTTGATCTTGAGATTTCAGCCATTTCCGCTCAGCTTTACGTCTTGCTTGTTTAGCTATCCTACAATTATTGGTGAACCAAGCAGGGGATGCATGATTTGAAACGGTCTTAGATTTTAATGGGGCCAGTTCATCTCTAAGTAAGGTAAGTGTATTATTGTACTGGGTTATTGCGTTGTTCACATCCATGTCATCACTAAAATTAGAGAGAGAATGCACAATTCTCCGATCGAGAAAGTTGATGTCAATGTTGTTAAATTTTCTAAAAGTCACAACTTTCTTGGTAGGTGCTGGTTTGCGTGCATCGAGTGTAACGTGAAGAAAGAAATGATCAGACAAGGGATATTCATGAACCAGTGAAAGTTTCACAAGATTAGGATTATTTGTAATGACAAGGTCAAGTGTATGTTTGTGAGTTGAAGAATTTATCAGTTGAGTGAGATTAAGTGAATGAATTATATCCAGTAAACGAGCAGTATGTATATTACTCGGATCGTCTATATGAATGTTGAAGTCACCAGTAATGACAAGATTTGAAGATAAAGAATATTGTTCTAAAAGGGTCGAAAAGTCGGAGAAAAATTGCAGAGTGGGATGAGGCGGAGGTCGATAGATTGTTAAAAGTGTGAACCTTTTAGAGACAGTTTTAATCACAGTCTCACATGCTTGATAGTGAGAAAGAGCTTAACGCGTTGGTGTGGACAAGAGGATTATACTTGCTGGTTAAAACAACGCTATAAGAATCATAGCAAATTTACACAGAAAATCCTACGTCATAAGGTGGCAATTTAAAAAAAACCAAAAAGTGATGATATATTCAGACGTTTTTATTACAAGAGTGTACACGGATTTATATATTGTTATTTCACCATTTCACAGCTTTATATTATGCTAAGACGCTGCTCCAACGTTGTACGGTACTTTCACCATTTTCAAAAGTTAATTAATTCACTCACATCATGTTGAACAGCAAAGTTGGGCACTCACTGTTCCCGTCGGCTTTCGGCCGACGCGATTGTATGGGGAACGCAACATCATTACGCGCGCGCAACGGATCGCTTTTAATGACCATCCGTTGGTTCAGACTGCTACGGATAATCAACAGATGGCATCGCGTCGTCTAACGCTCACAGTGAAGAGAGTTTTGTTCGTCGGCCGACGGACGTACCGCCATCGCACGACGAATCCAACTGCTCCCGGTGAGCTATAGACGACGCGAAGCCGCCTGCCGATTGCCGGCAATCTAAAAGAATCCTCATTAAAAATGATCCGTTGTGCGCGCGCATCGTCGCGTTGCGTTCTGCATAGAATCACGTCGGCCATCAGGCGCAGTGAGTTCCCAGGTTAAGAGCCCCGGGAACCAAGAAAGCAGAGCTTGTATTTAGGTCTAGGTTAAAGTTTTTCTATTACTCTACATAATTTTAAAGGTAAAATTAAACATGATAAATTAATAAATTACGATAATAAAGTATAAAAGGGAAAGAAAGTATCATGTTTCACTGAAAGCAAAAAACATATTCCGTACATTATATATTTATTATTTCTACTTTTTTTGTTTAAATTTAATAGTTGCTTCGTAATTGTGCTTCCAATGGTTGCTTACATTACATTAATAAATAGAATGAATCAATCAATAACTGCAATTTAATTAACATTGTAATATATTGTACAGTACACGTCATTTAAATAATTTTATCAGCATTGAGGTGAAAGGTACTGATAGACCTATAAGCCAATTCATAGCTTAAACTGCGCATGCCCGTATCCAGGTCAATCGACAAATCCCATATCGTGTGTATATTTGTTTTTGTCGACTGACCTTGATACGGGGAATACGCAGTTCTAACTACGAATTTGTTTTCAGGCAACGGGGTTTTTTTTTTTCCCTTTTCCAGGTGATATACGTTGCCAGGAACCCGAAGGACACAGCAGTGTCAGCGTATCATTTCATAAAACCAATGTTTAAAAAAGCGAACACCGAGGTTGATTGGAATCAGTTAATTCAATTATTCATGACAGGCAAAGGTTTGTTAAAACTTAGTCTTTTTTGTACTGTATATACTCGCGTATAAGACAAGCCCTGAGTTTGAGATGACCCCTCCCAGGGGTGGATCCAGAGATGTCCGAAAGGGGGAGCGAAAGTGTGGGACCGATTGAGACAACTCTATGCTAGGGGTCTGGGGGAATGCCCCTGTGAACTTGTTGTGTTTTAGACGCCAAAAAATAACTCCTAAGGTGTTTTGGGATATCTATTTTTCTTTTTTTTTTCTTTTTTTTTCTTTTGACTTTCCAAAAGGGGAAAATCCACTCCTTCCCCCTCCCCATTCCACCATCGGAATTCATATTTTTAGCCGCTCATGATCTTGATCCTGCATCTAGCTGGCTTAAACCGGAGTCAAATTAATGTAGGGCTAATATCCAAAAGAATGCCATTTCATGGGCTTTTAAATATTAATCATATAATTTCCCAGTACCGTATTCAAAATTGCGTTCATTAATATTCATAATAACATTTAGTAGGTTCAATGCAGCAGTAAATTCGCGTGTTACGGGCACAGTTTAAAAATAGAAAGTTAGTAGCACTTAACATTGATTTTCATTGACATTTTTAAAATCCCCCCCCCCCACACACCCCTACCATATTTTTGGAAACGACGATTGTAAATAAATATTTATATAAAGATAATCATTTTAATTTAGAATTATAATGTTATTGAATATTTCAATTTTTAATTAGATCAATTCTTGTCTGTTTGCAATAGACACTTT